CCATGTCCGGAAGCTTGCGCAATGCGCTGAACAGAGTCATGGTCTTTCCAGAACCCGGAGGACCACAGAGCATCAAAGGCTTATGCTCTGACAGCCATGAGTACAACACTTCTTCGTGGCGCACAGTGTCCATCGTAGGTACAACGATGTCTGAAGATGTGACCGCATGGGCGTCAATCTCAATGGAAGGCACCTTGGACTGCCAAGCAATCCAGTCACCGCTTGCGATTTGGACATCGAAGTCAATGAGGGAGCTGTCGGAACCCATCGCTGGGAGGTCGATTCCCGTTTGCTTGCGCAAGAAGTAGCCCATCTCAGCCCGAAGGTCGAGTTTGGCATCACCGGAAAATGCCCAAATGATGCTCACAAGGAGCCGTTTGGTGACATACTGCTCCACCTTTTCAGGCGCAAGAGGGAAATCAGAATGTTGCAGGTTGTACTCGATGACGTTTCGAGCTGTCTTGTTCAGCAGCGAGAAAAGAGTGTGCAACGCACGTGTCGAGGTGAAGTCCATGATATGATCTATAGACTCCGCGAAAGTTAGGGCAGAGTCAACAAGATCTCCGTCGCCGAAATAGCGTTCAAGAATGGATGCGATCTGCACTTGAGTGGCGAGATTAGCAGAGTTAGATGCGTCAGCAGCCAACGCATCAATACGACGGCCAGGCATATCAACAGCATCTTCATCATCCGCATCCAGGGGCACTGTCGACAGGGTGTTGAGATAGTGCCGGTAGACCATTGATGGTTCGATGACGTCTTCACTAAACCAGATCATACCACAACGACTGACGGTGGCCAAGGTAGCATAGCGAAGATGCTCGACCTCGAACATGATGCGCACATTAGGTGGAAGGTTCAGACGTTCACCATTGGGTAGCGTGAGCAGTTTGTTGTCGTCCAGCACACTGTAATCGCGTTAGACAGTCGCAGAATTACACCATCATAATACATACCTATTCAAGTTCTCGACCCACTCAGGATCAACATCACCATCAAAGATGATCCAGTGTCTCTTACTGCTTTCACCACGAACATCATCAACAATCTTGCGCAAGATGTGTGTAAACAACCCGTCGTTCCATTCGCGTGTCGTAGGATCGAGCGTGCCGTACAAGGCGTCCTTGTGCATGGCCTTAGGGTCAATGACATAGGGGATTCCTTCGATACCATCGAGCCTCTCAAGAGCGGCAAGCAGAACCTGCCAAGCATTGGTCTTCCCAGTACCCGAAGGTCCAACCATCATGAGACCGTGCTGAATCTTCTGAATCTGATAAAGTTGAAGAATCTTGGCAACCCATCGATCACCGTCGACAAGGCGGCGTTCCGCGCAAACCTTGAGAATTTGCTCGCGCAAAGCATCGAGGTCGACCGGAACGTAATCAGTACCGGGGAAGACATCGGCAAGCAAGCTGTCCAGGGTAAGTCATTTGTCATAGAAGGACAAACAAACAAAATTTACCTTGTAAGCAAAGGAACATCATCGGCAACCAACTTTGGCACGATTGTCTCCGTAACACTCTGGATGAGAATGATCTGTTCCGAAATATTATCGGAAAGACCTTCTACACCATCCGCATCTTCAGATTTCGCACTCTGCAGACGCTCACGCTTCAAGATACCAGCACTTGCTAGGACAGCCTTCAAAGCGCGGAGACCGAAATCGTAATGTGGTTGGGGAGAGAGCTGCTCGTCGCAAAGATTGAAGAACGGTACAATCTTTGAAGCGAGTGATTCTGCTGTACGGAAACCTTGTGAAAAGAGCATGACCTGGGCAATGAGCTCGCGGTCCGGTCTCGTCATGGCCATCCTGAATGAACAGCGTATTCAGCAGGAAACTCGTGACTATTAAGATAGAACTCACGGCCTGAACAATTTTGTCAAATTGGGCGGGAGCTGAGATCGACCAGCGTAGTTGGGGTTAGTCGTGATGAAAATACCTTTTACATATATTAGCCAGTGTCATTGTGGATTATAAAATTCTTACCAATGTTCTTATTGATCTTGAGGCTTTTCCCAACAAGTTCGATTTCAACGTTGGGGTTTTTCGCCAATAAAACGAGACCTTGCTGAATGCTTTGTACTTGCTGAGAGACAGCACTGAGAATACGCTCCTCAAGTCGATTGAACTCGTCAAAGCACCCCCATGCACCAACTTGACAAAGTCCAACGAAGATGCGACCCATGGCTTGGAAGTCAAATGTCTCGTCGCAACAAAACACCAAAACGAAACGCCCCAGCTGGACACCAAGAGCTTTCACGGATTCCGTTTTGCCTGAGTTTACGTTAGTCTGACGTCACAAGATAGAGACAGCGTCCTACCTGTGCCAGCGGGCCCGAAAGGTGAGCCTCCCAGCTGATTGTCGAGCGCCTGAGTCAGCGTCAAGTACACTCGGTCTGTCAACGGCGTCTGAACCAGACGATCGGGGACACCGAGATACTCCCATCCGTAAGGGAACGATGCATCAGCAACGCAAATGGCAAGCCTGTCTAATGGGTTCTCGACAGATCGATCCAAATAGAAGCGCATTTGCGATAGCCACGTGAACGCCTTGGTGTCCGTGACACGCTGCTGGATGAGGGTACGAGTAACGTCTCTTTGGTGGACCAGTTCGGTAATGAGGTGCTCGCACTTGCGGCGGGTAACTGGGCTCAGTTCCTGCAACACGATATCCGCAAGAAGGTCGAGTGCCTGGCTGACTGTTTCAAGTGGCGCTTCTGGGAGCTTGCCGGACTCGAGTGTGGCATCAACTGCAGTAGTCCATGCGACCTGAACGGCTAGAGTAACTAATTGTGCTGGATATTTCTCCATCCACGTCATGAGCTGGTCCATTTCGAGGGGAGCGCCGGTGCCATAGAAGGACTGCAACTCAGTGACAGCATCGCTTAAAAGATCCGCAAGAGACAAGCGCATCATGGATTCGAGCTTTGCGAGCCAGTCGTTGATCTTGGGGAAGTCTTTGAGCAGGACAGGCTCACTGAATTTAACCTCCTCGCCTTCGCGCGAGGCCATGCCCTGGATCTGAGTGAGGTCCTCGTCGAGCTTGATGGTCGAAATACCAGCAAACATCTTTTTCAGGTGCTTCATGATGCGCACAATATCCTTGCTGTTACCTATGATCTCCAGGAGGTCTTCATCACCAACAAAGTAGAAACGAGGGAACGAAGACCGCTCGCGCTCGAGGTATTCACCGAGCGCTTTCTGGATCTTGTTCAAGAGGTCCGCTAAACGCTCCAAACTCTTCTGGATTCCCTGGATGTTCATGACGTCTATGACGAACGGCGACTTGTACACTTTTTTCATCACGGTGAGGAACTCTGCATTAATGTTCTGGAAGCGGGCGCTTTCCACTGGAAGGAGGTGCTTGATGTCCGCACTGCCTGAGAAGATGCCCTCTAGATAAACCCATTGACGTTGTACGTCAACCCAGATATCTAAAAGAATAATGGGTGAATATCACAGTGAACAACAAGCAACAGTCATACCAAAGAGGACATGAATCCTGTTGAGTTTATCTTCCCATGACCCTGCTTCTTCCTCAAAGACTAGAAAACAAGTTAGCACGGCATCGATGTTACAAAAACATGCCCCATACCCTTGTAATAAGGCGACAACTTCATTGCAGTTAATGAGTTCAAGTTCTCGCTGCACTTATTGAAGAGGTCATCCCATCCTCTGGAAGTAATATGGTGAGTACCTCTATGTGACTTTGTTGACTATCGCTTACTTGATAAGACGGCACTTGTTCTGATAGTTGATAAGATCGAGCGTGTAGTTCGTCCATATTTCCTTCACTTGCTTGATATACTCTTCGAGGGCCATCTTCAAGACAGTGTTAGACGTATTCAGAGAAATCCAACAATGCTGCCCACCTCCCCCTGTGCTTGGATGATAACCTCACGTATGGGCGTATCATTCTTCTTAAGATCTAGGTCGTAAACATGGCCAAGAGTCATACTGTACAACGATCAGCACATAGAACCAATGAATAATATCTTGGAAGCAGCTTACAGGGTCAAACTGATCTGAGACGGAAGTCTTAAAACCTTAAAGAGCTGCTTCCAGTGTCTATCCTTCAGCGCCTCCGACTTCAGGTCCGAAATGAGTGAGTTCGACTTTAAAAGTCCACGCAGTACGTCCTGGATGTATTCGAACGCTGCGTACTGCCGCATGCGCGTGGGCATGTCCCTTGTCGAAGTCAAGAGGCCATCGAGCTGCTGCCTTAGCTTCCTCGGTTGCACCACAGACCATGACATCTCTCTCAACTCGCCAATCTGGCTCCATACACCAGACAGCGCGGTCCATACTGCTTTGAGGTCGCGAAGCTCTTCGAAGACCGGTTCAAGGCGCGTATGACGCGTCAGCTCGAGGTCTAGAGCCTCCTTTGCCCTGCATACGAGGTCGTACTCCTCTTGCACGCGAGTAAGCTTGCCCTCGAACACGTTAATAGTATTCATAGCCGTGTCTGCACGAAGGTTTCCTTGTACGGGACGTGTCTGCTCCCATTCCGACAGGGTGTCGTTAATCTTGTTCTCTACGATCTTGTCTTCGGCGACTATCTTAAGTTGAAGGCCCGCTGCACGAATGAATCATAAGCCACGAATGATAATGCAAGCTCAGGAGAACAACCCCATACCCAGCTGCTCTTGAATGGAATCATTCTTTCTCTTGAGAATCTCGTTATATGCGCTCCACTCTCCTCTAAGTTGGTCGCTGTATAGCCAATCATCTGGAAATTGGTACCGAAAGCGCTCTAGTGTCTTCTCGCCGTTAGCACATAGTTCTATCATGGGACCCCATGTCTTGGTCTTGCGTTTGAGGTCTTGAACAAATGTAATAAAAGTCACCGCCGCGGCGGTTGATGAGTTGGAGGGACTGAACGCCTAGAGAACGGTCAGCGTCCCGACGATGAGCTCGAGGTTTTTGTTTAGCTTCTTGTACTTACCTCCATGATTGCTTCTTGGCAGAAGTCTTGACGCGTCCTCCGAAACTTCAATGTCAAAACACTTGTGGGAAAACATTTCATAAGCAAACCCCTGCAATCCGTTGTCTTCAACAAGAAGACTCGAGCAAGCTGCTAGTACGCTCAGGTTTACGCATCCTCACCCGTAAAAATATCTGCACATCATGTCTGGACGCCAACAAAGAGTGTTAGTGCAGCCCATCGTACGTTTCCCCGTTCAAAAAGTCAATTTCTATTTACCGATGATCTTTATTTGCGCAGAATGTGATCTTCAAAAACCTGCAGCAGGTCTGCTCCAGCATGCCATGCTCTCTCCCTTGACACTAATATGCACATATAGCGAACAAAAGTCGTTATATGGCTGTATGACAACATCGAGATGCGGATCGAAGGGCGTATCATCGTACGTGCAACTTCCTAGTTTCGAACATTTGAGCGTTGAAGCACGTCTCTGGCAAGGCCATGATGCCCGTATTTGCGTGACGCGCGGCGATCTTGCTTGTTTTTCTTCCTTCTCTTGAATTACTTATCTCGAGGTCCGTTGAGCTGACATATTGCATCTTTAGGGATTTGACGAATTCATGAATGTCGTGGTCGACGAGGCTACAGAAGTCTACGTCAAAGACGCTAAACCACAACGGGAGCTTGGTGAGATCCTTATCTTGATCCATTTCGTAGACGCATTTCTCATATGGATCCAGGTCGTATACTACTAAAAGGCGATAACATCACCCTCATCCAACAGGTGGTATGATATGGTCACCGGCTCTGTTGATGTAAAATCTTGTCTTTCTGCACACACCGGTATATGATGTGCTCCCACAATGTATCATAATAATTTTGTGCTGCTACTGACGTACCTCAGCAAATGTTAAGACATGAAGGACAATTCGATAATACAACAGATCAGAGTATAACATAAAATTATAGGTTGTAAATCGGCAATAACCTCGTAAGACTAAGTGCCTGTCTACACAATGGACACTCTGCCTTCTCCCGCCCCCATCCCACAATGCACCCCCAACAAAACAGGTGCCCACACTCTGTCGCGCAGCTATCTGTTCGTTCTTCCAGACAAAGCGTGCACGTCCTTCCTGCCCGCTGGTGCGGTGGTATCGACGTGACATCTAAGATTGTGTTCTCGTCTTCTTCCGCTGGTTTCACATCGGACTCAGAGGCAGAGACGCCGAGCAATTTAGAAATAGGTCGATCATCGATGAACATCTCATTCGTCGAATCCAGGGGACGCTTCCCTGAGGACTTGTCCAAAGCAGCTTGAGATCTACTGCGCAAAAATGTAATGAGACGGTGGAGGAGGCGTATCGCAATGAGTATGCCAAGTAACGAATATGACGGCGGCCGAACATGAGGGTTCTCTGGGATGGAAGACACCTGCCACCAAATATTTAGATTAGTTTCTTATTCGTTGAAAATAAGAGACACAACCCACATGTCGAATGCCTAACATCCTCTTCACCAGATCATAGTACGTGCCCCGCAGGTAAAACACCGCCAGGTTGATCTCCGTCCCTACTTCCAAACACACCTGCAGCACCTTGAGCAATTCGCCCACTCTCGGGCTCAGCGCACTGATCTGAGAGCCCCAGCGCGCAAGAACATATGAAGGAAGCGTAGGGAGGAGGATCAGCGCAGCTCTTAGAGAATGCGAGGGTGTTCTTCCGGCAGAAGAGTACTCCCAGATATCTGTGTACTCCTCTCCGAGAGTCTGAACGGCTATCATGCGGTCAGTAAAACGCAAAACCTCGCAGATGATATATAACCACCTCTACCAACGGATAGTCCGTAGTACATGAGCTTCACAGCTAGCTCGACCTCCTTGTCCCATCGCGTGAGCCATCTTGTACCTTTCCGTCAATCGTCAGAACCGAGGCAAGGAAAAGAAACATAAAACCGCACCAAGCCACGATCGAAGCACTGACTCTGCCTGTTCCCTCAACGATGACACATGGAACAAGTCTCTCTGGTTCGCCCTGACTGTATCCTGATCAGCCTTCCTTCATACAAGAGCAACGAGACAACTCACTAATTTGAGCCTGCTGAGCGTCGGGAAACGCAGGCAGGCGTGATGAAGATGCAGACATGTTTTCGGTAACTTCGGCCTCAATTGCTGCTACTCTTTTCTGCCACCACACGGTTCACATAGTACTCAAGTACTCACTGGCTACTTACACATTTCACTCACTCATCACTGCGAGTTTACTGCAATGCCACCCATCCCTGCAGCGAACAGAGCACAAGAACCTTCCACATGGCAAAAATGTACGTCTAAACATAAATCTCAAATTCAAGAACAAGTTCTTACATTCGATTGACAGTGAAGTAGGTCCTAGCTACCCCATCATAACCCTTCTCAAACATAATCCCTCAGAATGGGCGCGATGATGGGTGGAGGCGTCGGCCTGACGATCGGTTTCATCTTTGGTTCATACAGTATCCTTCGGTAAGAAGTCAACCGACTTTCACCTTCATTTTTTACTACAAAACATGTTACACAGAAACGGCACTGGTCCTCGAGGGTTCCTCGCCACGCTTTCGCAGTATATGCTTAGCAGCGCCGCAACTTTCTCTTTCTTCCTAGCTATCGGTTCCGTACGTGTTTTTTCTCCATGGGTTGTCTCGGAAGCTCTTGACATCATCGTGGTACAGGTCATCCGTAACGACGCACTCCTACCGCCACACATGGAAGCCGCCCGTCTGCAACTCCTCCCTCCTCTTGTCCGCTCGAAGGCTGAGGGCGCCACGCTGATGCGCGCACGTTGGGATGCAGAAAGGGCACGAAGAACAGCTGCGTAGTGCATATATTGAGAATTTGTGCATTGATACATGGTTGAGATGAGATATGAATGATCTAGCTAAGAACATTGCGTGTGTCGGGTGGGCAGTGTGTGTGTGAGGGGTATAACAAAACATGACATGCTGCAAAGACCTGCAAGCGCGCTCTGCGGCTCGTGTCCAGTCTATGTATGGGTGAACATTCAACATAGCTAATACCTTAGGTGTCAAATTCATATGTTCTCTTCCTCTCTAGAACCGCAGGTCCGATGCAGGAAATCAACTCCCGCATGAGGTGAGAAGCGGCAGCGCCACGCAAAGAAGAACCTGGAGGGACGTAGTCCGCAATCACCGCCATAATTCGATGGAAGTTGACTTACGTGGAGAAGGCGGACTTAGATGCTATCGAACCGCGCTCGTTACACGTACCCAGAACCGCTTCAATCTCCCGCACTGAGTTGGTTTGGAACGACTGCTGTACACGTCGACCAGTGATGCTGTACGCGCTAGGCTGTATGGGCCAGATATTGTTGGTCTCGGAGGTGGGTTGGGTTTCCACCACCGTGCAAACCATCGTCTTGGCTCCTTTTTTCTTCGACCTGACGAAGTTGCCGGAGGGGAATGCGGAGGGGAAGGGATTGGTGAATGACCATGATATACCATTGGTGCTTCGACGAACTTCACCGACGGAGGCGACCGTTTTTTCTTGCGAGAAGTCTTTGTTGTCGCAAGGGAGATTCCCGAGTCATGTCGAGTTAGGATTGATTTTACTTGAGTGGGAGCTGTTTTTGTGTACACGGTCGAGCAGGATGCGATGGATGAGACGCTTTGGCGTGCACGATGCATAGGAGGCCGGAGATACTCCGAGCGATATCGCGAATAAGAGGGCATTCCTGGGCTTGAAGGCATGGAGGACTCAAATAGTATGCTTCTACGTCTGCTGCAGGATTCATCGCACTCCAAAGGTGGGGTCTATATGGGAAGAGTGGGTTATGGGTTGTTGTATGTATAGTGGAGATAAGTGCACACCAAAACTCTTCGAAGGCTATGCGGCATTGGAGAGTAATTACCCTCGAATTCTTCTTCAGGTGTTATGTCCTGGCTATGTGTTAGGGATGCCACGTGTTGTATTGATCTGACGACTCACTGCTAGATCACTCAAAGTGTTGACCGGAGAAAGATCGATGATGGACTGCAGGAACGGTCCATCAAAGGCTTCTAGTGCGGCGAGGGGGATGTGCTCACGTTGACTATGGTATCAGTATCCAGCCAATCTCTCAGAATCTCGTCGTCGGGTGCGAAAAAGTAGGTGGGCTGCTCGAAGTCTTCTGAGTGCTTTGAGAGTCGATATATGGTCAGTCCAATATGACATCAGAGATCCGCCAGGGCGCTTACGGTGAACCTGGGTGTTTGAGTGACGGACATGGTAGTTGGGGTGAGTGAGAGAGCCAGCGTGCATTCTGAGTGCGATTTGAATGTGTTCCGAATACACGTTGCAAGGCTATGAGAGTTAGGAAATGGGCCAAGAATGCATAAAGATAAGGCTCGGAATACCGGATGTGAGTCATCTTGCATGGTGGCAAAGGCGTGTTTGTCGGCAAGTTAACTCCGGGTACCTAAGGTACATCGTGACATCCCAGAGACTCCCAAGTACTCATACCATCGTGTGTATACGGTCTGCAGCACACGAATGATTTCACACGAAGGCCATCGAGACGCAAGGCATATAAAACGACAGTGGGGATGCTCTATCCCCACTGCTGTTCCACATGTACATGCGCAATTACATGTAATTCCAGTGTAGGTCATTACCTTGGAATAGACAGGCGATTATGTGCGACGGATCTACCTACCGGTGTCATTGATGTTGATGCCCGTGTGATCCTCCGAGGCTGAGGCAAGAAAAAACGTGTACCAAGACGTCAAGCACCATCCCCCCTCCGTAGTCGATTGAATTTTGGTAGCATCTCACGGAGATACTCTGCGTGTTTCAACCTCAAGTCCGCTTCTTGAATCCTTCCCCTTCCACTCCAAGTCCTTCTTTCTGCAGCGGGTCCGAAGATAGACGTGTAGTCGTCGAGGGTCTCGTCGTCGGTAGGAACCACGAGGCACGCAGCACCAATGACACAGTAATTTGATATTCGCACAGTATGGTGGACGCGCGCACGCGTCGATATAGTGTTGAAGTTGCCAACGGATGGACATTCGACGCCTATGCAAGAAGGAAGTTCATGACTGGAGGTACGGAAGAAGGAAAGAACGTACGACAACCAATCTCGAACAAATTATTGTCACCGACCCTCATCACTTCTTTGCGGCGATTGACTATTATTGCGGCCTCCTCAATGATGCAACCCGAACCAATTACGATGGGACCAGCTATTGCGAAGATGGTGGCTTTGGGGTGTACGACTGTGCCTGGTCCGATGGTGATATCACCCTTTAATTCTACATCTTGGCAGACCACCGCTCTTGAATGGATCGTGAACTTATCGCGACTGCAAGTCACAGCGTCACCACTGGATGCAGGTAATTATGAAGCTAACTAACTTACATAGGTGGCATGAGTTCAAGAGAGGTAACCTTAACCCTAGGGACGTTGAAGACCCTGGCTATATTTACAGACACTCTAAGGATTCGAGCATGGCTATTCCTTAGAAGTTAGATATATCAATCGGGACCCCTACATATGGATGAATGGGACCGGCGATCAAACATTATGTGTAGGAGACAAGTTTTTGTTCGCCCTCGTGCTTATAAAACTCACTTATGCAGCATATGGTGGAACCTACGGTCCTACTAGTCCTTCGTTCAATAAAACGGGGATTGAAGCAGTTGCGGGACCATGTCACGTAGCGGTGAATGTTAAAATGAAGTCTAGCTTGAAACCCACTTTGAAGAACAAGTCCAACGGCATCGTCATAACATCACGGTAAGCCTGAATCTGCTGCAAAAATGATCTTTCAATAATATTAAATAACCCCGTCTATATTTTGAACGGAGTGTCAACATGCAGCCCACTCCATATACCCCTTGCGGCCTCCGTCGTACTCTCCACAATGCGGCCCTTCTTGAGTTGCTTTATCTTCGCACCCGAGGAGTCGAGTAGTAATTGAATTTTTTTCTCAACACCATTAACTTCGAACTCCTGCAAAGGAATGACCTTGTCACGGCCATTAACTATGATCAGGTCAGAAGAGAGTTCGGCATCACAAAAAGACGCCACAGAACCGTATAATCCCCTTGCTATTGGTTCATGACCGTTGCGCTGCTTGACCACGAATTCTACATGCGGGTTCTGCCATGCAACGCGTTGGAGGTCATTTGAGATGAAAGTACGGGTGTTGGTGGAAGAAGGAAGTTTCTGGCAGTATTCTAGGACTATCTTCCTGACCTGTGGGAGGTATGCCGAGTGACCATTCGCAGGATATGAGCGCAACTGAGCCCTAAGGATTTGTTTTGTGGCCATGGGGCAGAAGAGGAGGGAGTCGGAGTATGAATTTGTTTGCGTGTGAGATTGATCGGAGTATGAAACGAGTTGAGGAGAGAAGACCTCACATCGACAATTGTCTGCGTGAGGATTAATATTCTAATTCGACCATCGACGCGTTGAGCCCTGAACGCGTTCATCCCCTAATCTTTGCTCGCCACTTTCAAAATCTATTGGGACTACTTAGCGAACAATTTTACCATGGCTAGAGCGACTCGTTCAGCGACACAGCAGAATGAAAAGGATAAACACCCAGATCCAGCAATTCCACAACGTACAAAGCAATCCACAAAGAAACGCAAGCGCGTTTCACTTCCAGACGACGACCAGCCTGCAGCAAAGCAGCATCGTTCCGAGAATGGCATAAAGGAGGAATCAACTGACGACAAGTTATCCAAGGGAAAGTTGCCCGAGCTTGACCATGTAGCCGATGTCCCTTTAGACACTTCAATCGCGCAACAGGTCCTTGAAATCCTTGAAAAGTCCGTCAATTACTCTTATCAATTCATTTCGCCACATGTTCTAATCGCCTCCACAGGGTCGATTCTCAAGGTCTTCTTGACCGCGTCTTTCCCCTTCCCGCCACAAATCCATCCGAGCCATCCACTTCAAAATCCCAAACGGGAACGTGTTCTCTTCGTACTCTCCTCACCGAATCATCACAGCACCCACTCAGGGTGCTCCATGTAAGTTTCCTCCATTCTCCGACATCGAATCGACTCATGACTAGCTTCTAGTCCGCAGTTCAGAATCTATTTCCAGTAGCTCATCACGCGAGGTCTCGTGCATCCTCTCTTACTGCGCTACAACTGCGTTTTTGCAATCTTGCCATCTCCCTCCTCAACCAGGCATCCTTTTACTCCGTCCCGCTTCCCCTCGACATCGAATCCATAATCCCAGTCAATCCAGAGCCATGTGCTGCAGATGGACCACCTCTCAGCCCGAGCCTGCCCGATAAACTATCTCACACCGGACAGTGTAAGAGATATGCGCTCATGCAACGCCTCCCGTCCGGCACCTGGTGGTCATCCCTCGGCACGGACCTCTCTAAAGAGATCAAAGACCTCCAAACTGCCAACGCAGAACTCGTTGCAATCCTCCCCTCACCTTCGTCCCTCGTATACTCCGACGACGCCTCCAAGTCAACTATTACTCTCACAGACACGCAAGCTCCGATGACGCTGGGTGCCTACGTACCGAAGAAGCCTCCAGGACACCGGTCGAAGCTTCCCGGCCCTCGGCGTGTGAGCTGTGGGTCATTTTTGGACTATGGTCCTTATGCGAGTTTCGCTCCAACTTTCGATCAGGAGGGAGTGGAGACCGGAAGAGAGGCGCTTGGGGAGGTCTTGTGGAGATGGGAGGATAGGAAGAAGGGTTGGGCCACTGAGAAAGCGCGTGCTGCTGAGGAGGCTACACAGTGTTTGCCTATGGAAGGGCTGCATTCAACGGAGGGAGAAGAGCAAGAGCAAAATAACGTCATTGACCCATTACTTGAGGATGATGACGACGAAGAGACTTTGGACGGCCTGCTATCAAAAGAACAGGTCGCCTCCCTGAAGTCTGTCCTCAAGAGCTTAGAATTGGAGAATGCTGTTCAGGAGCTGCTAGATCGAAACACAAAAGCTTTAAGGCGATTAGAAGAGCTTCAGAGACAACGGCTCTCGAAAGAAGGGGGATTCCATGCGGTTGAAGAAGGATCGGAAGAGTGGGATACTGGTAAGGGCACCTTGGAGGATTCTACTGCCAGACTTACATTTCCTTACAGCTCAAAGCATTCTCGAGTCACTCACCTTGCTGGCATCACTACGGCCCCGACAATCGGGGAGTGATGATGTGCCACTTATTCCCTCCCCCACTACACTCCACAAACTACATCGTACACTCCCTGTTGCACCCTCACAAGGCTGGTACGGTACTCTACCTACAGGCCGCACAACAGCTCTTCGCGACAACTCAACACTCTACATCAAATCCACCGCCACTGCAGTGCCCTCTCTGCCATCAGCCGCGCCCACACCCGCCCCTGCAACACCAGCTGCAACACCAACTGCCGCGGCAGCCGCAGTTGCACAGAACTACCAGTACTCGTACAATTATGCAGCAGCAGCAGGCTACCGTGGTAATTATCAGTACAAGCCAGGACAGACACCCTCGTACTACCCTGCTTCATATGGCACGCAGGGGCAGACCCAAGCTGCCACGCAATACTATGCTAACCAGCAATACGCAGCATCAGGGCAACAGCAATACGCCTACTCTTCCTGGTACCAATATCAGCCTCCAACCCAAGCTGCTGCCACTACGAGTACGGCCGCTGCTCCGGGGACACCGCAGACGGTCATAACCACAACCGCACCTGCGACCCCATCTGCAACGATTCCAACGAGTTATGCAGGGTTCTTCAGCAACACTGCACAGGCTGGGCAGCGCGCAGTGGCGAATACCGTCACTGGGAAACCACCCCAAGCTGCTGCGGGCACGATCTGGGGCACAGGAACAGCTGGCACGGGTGGCTACGTCCCTCCGACGCTCCCCCCGCATATGCGAACTGCCGTAGCAGGCGGCACCGCGCAGCAAGGGGGGTATGCTTACCAGCCCAATTATTATGGGGCGTATCAGCCTCAGGCTGCTGCTGCGTCCCCTGCGCAGTGATGGCTATTTTGATCCTTTGTTTTATGTTTTTAGTTTCAAAATTATATTCTTTGCCGGGTGCTGCCCTGTGGTTTGGATGGCAGGATACCGTATGAGCTGTGTAGTAGAACGTTGGAAATAATGAATATTGATTAATTGGAGTTTGGTGGTATGTAATCATCGAGATAATTGGGTATTGGAGACTCGACATTGGGATATCATATGTATCACACTCAGACTTCCGAATGCTTAATATTCTCGATGTGACATGAACGGGATTGGGACCTGCTTTTAAGTTAATATGCGGCTCTGTTTCAGGGTGTGGTGGGAGTCATATGGTCCGGAATGCCTGGCTCTCAGAGTCACCACACACCTGGAATCTTCTTCAATGATCTACATCATGATGGTCTTTAGGTGAGACGCTGCAGCCTACTGTTTTCCGGACCGTGGAACTTCTATTGGGGATGTCAGCGTTCAGACTTAGTTAGCTATAAGGTCCTGTAGAAAGGATAGACTAATGAGTGTAATCAGGAGTTAGATGTGGATCGGAACAAGTAAGTCAAAGGTATATATTGCACAAGGGCCAACGTTGGTAAGAGATAGCTTCCGGTAAACAAAAATATCTACATAAGTTATACGTTTGCAACAATAATCATGCCGAAGGCTCAGGCTTAAGAGTATCCATAAAAAGACTCACGAAAATTACGAAAGCTGCCGCTGATGTACATGCCAGGACGAGGCCACCAATCCAGGCAGACTTGGTCTCTGCAACTTGGGCTGTGGTTTCCATCATCGTCACGTATCCAGCAGCCCTTCCCCTGCTAATCATACTGGAATCGCAGTAGCATGTATCGTAGAAGTAGGAATACTGGAAAACACACGTCATGATCACCCAGATGGAGTTTGCAATGGCCAAAAGTTTGCCCATCCTTCGTAGCAAGTGCGAGAACGCCAGAGCAATACGTGCCGGTAACGCTTGAGAGGAGGAATAAGCTGCGGAGTAGTGGGCGAGAATACTGGATGTCAGGAGCATTATCCAAATGACAGTCGATACGACTCCATAAACGAGGAAACCCAGAGATCGACACCCCATGCCCTACCTGAAGTCAGCTGAAATATTGAGTGTACCAGAAGAAACGCACTATCGTAGGAGTGAACCACTCTATCACAATCGCTCCTCCAACTGTTCCCCATTGTAATGCAAGCGAAGCACATGACGCTTGAGCCATTCTTGTGAACACGCCAGGCGCCCAGCGGCTGCGAGGTTGTGCGGCACAATAAGCAATGATTTGCTCATTGGACCCATGTAGTCGATTGTCGGGGTGGATAGATTTAGGGTCGTCGGACTTGACCCAGTCACTATCACTATCAGAATGGACGGGAATACGGTTTTCAGCCTTCTCTGATGCTGTTTTGTACGCCAGGAAGATAGTCTCTGCTGTAGATGCCCATTGCAGCGAACGCGAGTAATTAAACACCGGGGGGGTGAGGAGTTCGTCTGGGGATACAACATCCTGATCCTGAGCAGTTATGGTCAAAGCTTTTTCAGTGAACGCAGGTGGATGAGCATGAATAATCCCTGCGCGCGCGTGTTGGCCGGCTTGATCATAAGCTTTTTGTAAGCGTCTGAAATCACATTTTGGGGATAGTAACAGCCATCCGACGACTATTGAAATCAACCACAGCCACATTGAACCAGTGGCTCCCCCGTCGGCCACATTGCTTGCGACACCGCTTAAGCTTGTTGATGACTGGACATAGCTGGTTATGGACAGGATATAGGAGACGACAACCCAGACGATGGATGTCCCAGACGCGATTGACCACGTACTATGAGAGTAGTCCACCATCTGAGAGAAGTATTTCCACCAGCAGTCGTTTTCCGGAAGGATGACAAGAGATGCGAAGCGTATGGGGTCGGAATGCAGTCCTAGTGGGACTTGCTGAAGGCTGCTGACAATAGAGACTACGAAACCTGAATTTGGATAGTTCACCGCTTGTCTAAATTGGCGGTTGATCCAGCGAGAGTTAAGGAGGGTGATGATTAGAGAGTAACCAGCAAGTACTGGTGACCCGACAGTCAACAAAGCAGACATGAGATTATCAAACCTATCCTGTGCCCCAAAAGGGAGCTGCGAAATCAGTGCCAGGTATGGCAGTAGCCACGAACTGAAATCTTGCGAAAATGCAGACCACTGGAAATGCAATCCGCTCCCACAGAAGGAGATGCACAGTGAGTAGCTGATCCCTGTGGCATCAGAAATATTCGACACGGGATCTCCGTTGAGATTGAGGAGACCGGCTAAATTATTGGTGGCAATTGCATTCGCCGTGATGTCGGTGAAACACTGATTCCAGTCGATTCCAACGACAGATCTAGAGTGCACCAATAGCAAGAGAGCTACTAGTAGGCAGATGGAATGGGTGAGAAACCAGAAAGCTATGGACGACTCATTGCACTTACATGCCTGAGAGCAAGTGTGCCAACGCATTCTTTTTCGGCTACGCAAGGTAGATGTGATGAATGCCTTCAGTGTACTATAAACCAGCACCCCGGTCTTTAGTATTGCCAATTTTTTATATAGAAAACCTCTTACCAGACTACTGTAGAAAGGAACGGATACTAGTACTGTCAACACATCTGGGCGTATTTTATATGTGTGCAAATTCATGGCGCCATGTTACTGTTCTGGCTTTCGAAGTACTTCGGCTCCAAAATCTTGGCATAAACAAGTACGGTACTTGCTAGGTTTCTTGGGGTGACTAAGATGTACCGTACTTGTTTATGATTCAAGCTTCGAAGAACCCTTCGCTCATCAACAAGGTACATAATTATCTCACCTTACTCTCCAAACGTTCCATCATGGAGATTCATACGTCGTAGCACTGAACACATTGGTCTGTCGGTTGTGAGTCATGAACGAGCGCTTCAAATCCATGTCGCAATGGGTGATGACTGGTTCATGTGCGCCGACGATGCTCCTGGGGCCTCAGGAAACGATTTTGGTCTTATTGACAACTCTCAAAGATGTCATAAATGTCTTGTTGACAGCGGACACATGTGATATTTGAGAGTATCGCCGGCTGTGCTGATAGATAAGAGTATGGTCTCGAATAGTCCGCCAAGGATGCCTTGGACCAGTTATAAACTGTTGGTGATGGGTCAGAATTTTGCAAAACGTGGGACCAAGAATACTGTGCCGGTCTTCGCCCGCGTCGTTCCACTGAAAGATCGTAAGGCCGAACTCAGCCATGAGACAAACGAAAAATGGGTACTGATAAGCAGGTTCCTCATGCCGTTCTGCTTCAAGCTTCAACGCCCCTGTCATTCCACCGAAAAGCTGTATAAGTGTAGTAGATTCGACGATGAGAGATGTAAAGATCTGTTGCTTGTCTGTCAAGTTGCTAATCCCCTGCCGGCGTGTGCGTGTGCTATATGAAACAGCGTAGTTACCGCATCGCTATAGCTATGATGGCGGTGTACTGTGGAGTACGTTTGACGCAGGGTTTCCTGAGTCTGTTGCTGTGTGTTGAGAATAAAAAACTACTTATGGGTGGATATTGTCTTGCATCGTGTGAGAAGAGAATCCGTGCTCCAAGAGAGGAAGACACCAACTTGAAACTGTACTGTCACGGTGCAGTCTCATCTAGTAGTGACTCGAAATTGCTCTCAATGCTTTGAGTCGTCCATCATAACTCAAAGGAATGGGTTCAGTGAATGAATTGCCACGGGTGAGACAGCTTGAAGTGCGTTCAGCGCATGATGCAGTACTGACATCACAGCGGTGGTGGAGTACAAATTCAAGGGATCCGAGTCGGTGCGAAGTTTGTTTGTTTGTTGCAGACGGAGATTTGACCAGTCTGGCCCAAGTCTGGCCCGGGGACAACTTGAACGGATCACAAGCTGCACACCGGTAGCCGACGGCAAGTCCAGGCGCAGCGACGTTCTTGTAAACCCCGCTCGATGGTCGCAACGGCCATGACGCATGCAAAGACATCCCATCCAAGGTGCCTGTCGCCGTCCTTCAACATGTCACCATTCATAATATTGGAATGTTTTCATTCTCTGCCTCAACTCTGCTTGTCCGTCACCTTTCCCGCCCGCCGCCCGTTTTCTTTTGTGCAGATTTGGAAAAGTCATTGGTGCTGTTGCCACTGGTGCTAGCAGTGAGCAGGCATGAGAAACGGTGACGAGCTATACTTAGACACAGAGTGGCTGTCATACTCTGCTTGTAAGTGCGGATTGGCATGCTGTGTTCCAGACTTTGGCCCAGACAGGCCATTGCAGAGATGTCCTCGTCTTTAACGCACCAAGTCAGGCAATAGCCAAGTCCCACAGGTGATGCATGTTGTTGGCGCTGACCATTCTTAACTTAAACCAACGTGTTGGCCACCAAGTGACAGCAAAAAAATGTCCATGATGAAGCCCGTTCCGCGCATACTTCAGACACATAGGGCGTCCATACGATGTACGTGGGTGACTAGCAGGACTGTCGTTCACGTCCCGCCCGTATCGGGGATTTCGTTGCGCGTGGAACAGGGGGGATCAAGCCGAAGGATCCACGGCATATCTCCTCCAGGCTCGTTGACTACACCCCCGGGTACGCAATCCTCTTGCCTGCGGCGACTCTGGTACGTATTGTTTCTTGTAACATTTGCAGTAAGTAGTTAGTACCACGAGTCCTGACCTGGCTTGAATATTGAATGATCATCTATCAGGCTTTCGTCTACGGCGGCAGTGCTAGAGCCAGCGACTGTATAGATACTTCTTTCCGTCATCAGTAATTTCAGCCTTCTATTCGGATTTGGAGCTCATGCTCGAAGACAGAATACCTCCGCACGCACGTAGTACGAGTGTACGTGTCTGGAAAGTAGACGAATAGGATCACCACGCACTATATGCAACAATGTCTCCTAATGCCGCAATGGCAATATACTATTGCTGCTGTGTCAAGGAACCGACGACCAGTGGTCAGTCCAAAAACAGCAGAAATGTCGAGACCGTAACTGACTTGAACAGTGGTTTCGATGTCACATTATGCTCATGGGTGGTAAGCGACGGTTGGTGACCCTAGCGGATGTGCGCATATGATGCGTGTTCATCATGCAGTGCCACATCTGGTTCTTGTGCGATATTCTTGACTGGAGGTTTGTGAAACTGCTGTCGACTCCATCTTGACTGAAAGCCGTTTTCCAAATGCTTCTGTTGGAACTTGGCACAGATCAGCTGGAACTTCAGGCACAATGACTTGGTAGCTGAAGGATAGACCTCGTGCAAAATCGACCTTAACAATATGCGCGGCTTCAAGTTCTGTTTCAGAGTGTAAATATGGTCTGGAATGCCTTACTCCCGTCATCTCGCACCTGTCATCTCCTTCAATGCCTTACATGGTCTTTAGATAACGTCTTGCATAGTAGAAGGCGAGCCGCTGTAGCACTCCGTTTTTCGGAACGTGGATCTTCTATTGTGGATATGGCAGATCACGGAGAGTCGGGAGATATAACATGAGCGATAGCATTCTGCGTGAAGCGCGTCACATACAGGGCCACAAGAAGAAGTATTAATCATGCACCAGCTTCGTTAACACCGACGTAGAGTTGGACGCTTGCCTTTCTGATGGGCCACAATAATTGCAGATGCGGCATATCGTACAGCGTATGTACGACATGAAGTGCCCCTCGTAACATTGCGTCCAATAGTTCACATACCCTGATCTTCTTTTGGGCAACTGGTATTGTTGCGGGGCCGATTTCAATCTCCCGAAGAGAGACCTGCGTGCACCGGATCAACTCTTCGGTGGTCTCGGGCCAGCCCCGTTCATCGTCTGGATAACATCGCCTTTGAATGCTCCGTCGCCCAGAATCGCAAGTGCACTCGCGCTGGAGATGTGTTTGAGAAGTATACAGAAAAATCGGAAACTGCAAAAGGACGTTGTCTTCTGCGGAGAGATGGCTCGGGGAACGATTAGCTTCCGGAACAGGCACCCATCATCATTCCGAGGCTCGGATTGTGCAGTAACTGTACCATACCGTCAGCCAGAACATCATTTCCGTCCCTGTCGTCCTTTCCGTTGCACCGTTTGTTTCGGATTATGAGTGTGATCGTAATGACAGACCAAATATGTATGTTTATGTTGTCATATAGTGCGAGCATCAAGATATCAATAAAAAAGAAGGGTTAAAGTTTGTCACCGTCCCGCAAGGCTAGCATGTTTAGAAACTGGAATAAACTGCGGAACCTGTGCGGGAACAGTTGGATGACGAATCATCTCTGAAATGGGCATCGGCAAAGGATCAACATGTTGTGGGTAAGTACGCGAAGAGAAAGTATGGGAAAAAAAATCTTCTTTGAATTCCTGACGGGAGTTGATACGCACGCGTATAGCCTCTGCTGGATCATCATCCAGGGGATGCATGATGGACGTGTATGGGAAGGAGTGTTCTTCGTCTCTAGGTGACGCAGATGACACAGTGGCATCTGGTAGAGCATACATCAAACGCAGCTGCGAACGACGGTTGCGCTCGACTTCATCTTCGTCATCCGAAATAACCTCATCTCCATCCGCATTGAGACGCGCTGAAATTGAGCTTCAGAGCAGTATATTTAGTAATTACGCCCACGTACCCCATCCCCTGCGGCGTCTAGCAGAGCCCGAAGACGTCGAAGCTTCACCTGCAGCGTTTGCAGTCACTTCTCTAGGCCACGACCTAGCATTCAGAAAATGGGGTGGCGGTCTTTCCGGCACGCTGGGGGGGCGTTGATCCCGCTCATCTATAAGTAGCGTTCGGTCGGTGTGGTCACTGGTCCACCGCCTATTCGTACGACCCGATGGCTGAGAAGGATGTATGGATGAGTTGGGCACAGCTGCAACATCAAGCACTAGAGTCAAGAGTGGATCATTGCTTGACTGTGGTATGGTAGGTTCCCAGTCCATCTCTGTCTCCGAAGGGGCCACAAAGGTCCCTTGTCCCTGTGAAATTGATCTATCGTTCACGCTTGGCTGCTCAGACTCTGCTTGCCGAGCAGCTTCAAGGCGGCGGACTCCCTGCGTCACAAGCCGACTAGCCAAGCTCGCTAGATCCCGCGCAATGACAGAGGTCTGATCTTGGAGTCGTTGTTCGAACGGACGAGTGATGCTCTGACGCTCTGAGGCAGTACGCGCTGCCACTTGTCGCCCGATCATAGTGGTGGGATCATCGGGATTTATGATCCCATGGTCGCTGCGGAAAGCAGAACGTTCTTCCAGACTGTTTGAAAGACGGGCTCTGTTGTTTGCAGGAAGAATTAGGTCTGGCATCGGAGGGGAACGGGCGCGAGGCGGGAGCATTCGAGAGGGTACATCGGCAGGTGCATCCCACCACTGGGATATATTGCGTGACACATCTGATGCACGCTCTGACGTGGAGCCTCTCCTCCGTCTTGCCATATTTTCGAAATCTTCCAGGCGCTGCCTGGCAGAGGGATTGATAATAGTTCTCAACCTCTGAACGCGTCTATTGAAGTCCTGGTCAGACTCTGGAGCATCGGACCCGGTAAGGACCAAGGCAGCATGCTGGGGTGCGATACTGGACTCTGGGGTCCGGCCGCGGGCGGGCGAGCGTCCTTCTGCGAATCCCGGTGGCATCCGGTTGAGCAGATTGTTGATGTTGTGTCTGAGTTGTGCGACACGCTCATATGCAGCATCTAGAGCAACGGATGCTTGTCTCAGATTGTCCTGAGTCTCCTGTCGGTGAGCGATGCTGACGGAGTTGTCTACTGGGACAACAGAAGGAGCATTGAGTGGGTTAGAACCCGACGTGAGGTTTGATTGGTTCGGGACGGGAGACTGAGGATGTGAGATATCTCGGAGAGGGTTCATCGGCCTTTGAGCCCCCGCACACGCCCAGACACTTATAGACTATAGATACAGTATAAAGGAGTGAATGATGCCTTTGGGCCTTTGGCTGAGGGTCAAATTGGGGACAGACCGTTTCCAAGTTGACGGTGGTGTGACAAAGCAGGTGCAAATTGCAACCGCAACAAGTCTCTGAAACGAAGCTAACCTAACATGCATATGTACCAGAATTCGTTTGATTAGGATATGTAGTTTTCCCTATTGTCCATTGGCCTATGCTATATATGTATGATACACATGAACTTCCAAGTGAATAGGGAAACCTATAATGTAAAAAATGTCCACGTCTACGCAAAATCAGTCCCTGCTACGATATAGGTCCGGCTAGTATTGTCAGTACTGCTAGATTCTTCGTCTGGGTTCTTTCGTATTGAATCAATGGGGTAATGATGACGCAGAACCTTGGCAAGTAAAGGATCAGCGCCAGTATAGCAGAACGCGAGAGTGACGCAGACGACGATGAGCGCCGCCGTAATGCAACAAACGGCGGTCCACCCATGTCTCGCATGATCATATATCTAGAAAACGACATCCGATCAAAAACGTGGCTGTTGCATTTATTGGCATGGATGCTAACCTGTCCTCCGATCACAGGACCCACTGGGAAAAAGTCAGAAACTGTGTTTGAGACGAAAATATGATTTCTCACCCGCTGTACCAATCCCGAACGCAAGATTAAACGCGCCATAAACATGAGCATCTGTGCGTTGTCAGGAGATGAAGCATCGCATTTCGTTGGGAATCACTCACACCCGACGCCTGCCATTGTTCGAGACACAGATGCAAGTTCAGTCGTCACAGGCGCAACGACACCAGAAACGAAGAAACCTAGGCAGAAACGGTCAGAGCGACACATATAGCAATGGCACAAACATACTTTGAGCGGCGAGAGCAAAAATAAACAGGGGTAATGACTGTCGTAGGGTCATGACAATCCACCACGGCAATGCAAGGATCAGACATATGCATGTTATGTAGTCGGAACCCGCTTGATCAACATAATAGCCCGCTAGTGGTGACGCTGCAACTCTTTAAGACGGGGCGACGTATTATCATAGACTGCGTAACTTACAGATCAAGGCTGGGAGGACTGCTGCCAGGTAGGCAAGACCCACCCGATCTGAATTAAAATTCCATACAGATTGGAGATGGAGCGGAAGGGAGGGCTCTTGCATGCTCTGTACCAGTCTGTGGCAACGGTGAATGCACGTCTCGGTACTATGGGACAATGCTTACCCATATACGAACGTCATGGTTAGAGCGACTAATGCGCGAGGTGACTGCGATAATTTGATAATTACTGAGAGTAATGGTGTTGGTTTGCGATTGAGTGCCGAGTCAAGAATTGATTTGCGTGATATTGAGGGCTTTCGTGCGTTGGGTAATAGAGACTTGTCCGAAGCTATCGATCGTTCTACTTTATTAATTTCCACATCAGTGCTTGCATGCACATGAGCGGCTGGGATGGAGGAGAGCTGAATTTCAGGTGTAGAAGAAGCGTCCGGCGCCTCCATAATCACTACAGCCGTGGGTTCTGATGGGTCGTAGCCCCATTTCAATGCAACATCCCTTTCAATGAGAAGAAGCCGGAGGAGAAGATCGACAACTGCACACAGTTCCCCAAAGATGAATGGGGCGCGGAAGCCGAAGCGAGAATATAAGGCACCACCAGCGGGCGAACCAACTAGAAGACTTCTGGCAGTGAGACAACAACGCGGACGTACAGTCTAAACATACTCACCCGACGGATAGGCCAGTCATTGCAATACCCAATTGTCCTGAGAAACGTTCATTGATGGAAGCCAGACTGCTATTTTCATAAAAACTCACTGCCAACATTTTTCTCTGGCGTGGTATCGCACCTAATTGGAGATTAGTTTGTGTGATGGTGCCCAAAAATATTCTCACAAAAGCGCCAGGCCTACAATCCAGACCATGGAAGAGCTAATTCCTTGCAACACACGAGCGACAGCCATGATTGCGTAATTGGGGGCCTCCATGAACATAACCTGGGAACCAATGAGCGCAAGGAGGCCAAGGATCAATGGCATTCGTCTCGTCGAATATCGTTCTGAGTGCATGGCAATAGGGATTGTTGCTGAGGGAATTGTAAAACCACTTCATATGGTGTGGAACGAACGAACTTACAAAGGACCAGCCCGGCGGACTAGAGTAGATGAGTGAGGGGGTTTATGATAATGAGGATTCAGCTCACATATGCACACAGTAGCCAACCTGTGAGCGAGGAAACCTTATGGTATGACAAACGCTCGAGCTGGAACGGCAAGACGGGGATGATGATTGAGTAAACCAATAAATCGGTGGTAATGCCTGAAATGCGCATGAATACGGATAGCATCCTGGCATGTACGGTTACTGACCGAAACCGACGACTGGCGGGCAGCAAATGGATTTTAAGTGCTAGTATTTGAATAGAGATTTAGAATCAAACGTACCTGTAGTGATGAACCAAACAGATGACCGCCAGCGAAGCCCCCATGGCTTTTGATTGGAGTTGAAAGGCATGTAAAGTCTCAGACCCATTGCAGCTTGCGCAAAGGGAAAGCTAGCTGAAGAGATTAGTTGGCAAAGCGCGGAGGTGGGAGGAAGAGGAGTTCTTGGATTATATATTTGGCAATCAAAGCTTACTCAATCCTAATATACAGTTGATTTGCTCCAGTATTGCTTACCCGTGGCCCGTTCGTGGCCCGTCACCATATGTTTACCATCGGGAAAATTAATTGGTTATTCTAGGCGTGGAGACAGTATCCCCATCAGCTCTCGGGGGGACCGTTACAGTAACTGAAAGCTGTCCCAGCGCAGCACAGCGCCTGTAGGGCCTAGGTTGTCGTACGAGTGCCCGGGTGTTCCTGCGATACAGTTCACAGTAGTGGTACTACCAGAGTGAGGGACCCTGATGAGCCGGAAGCAAATTTTCATTGACTTTCAATTGCCGAATCAAGTAATGAGTCAATGGGAAAAATCGACAAATGGACTTACCCACTCATCACTGTACCCGTCAGTTACCATCGCAAGAGGCCTTGTGAGCTGTCATACTGTCATGCCTGAACTCCCGGGTAAGCTCTTACCATGGTTCATGGCTATGTACCGGTCCACTCACCCGTTGCCGTATCAGAAGTGGAGCGCGCAACTGCCCTCCTCAGGTCAATTACCAAAGGAAACAGAATCATTCGGGTAGAAACCTCCGAGGACAACCTTGTGTTTCAAGGACCGTTATCTCACGAGGACTTTGTGTGTCTTTCGCATGTTAGTTCCGATGGCTGACTGACGCATGCATCTATTTGTTCATTGGTACAGGGTAGGGAAATCAGTGGTCGCGTCGTGAAAGATGCGTTCCGATATGGTACGCTCGGAGCTGCGCTGCTCTCTTATAATAGCTGCCGTCGGACTCATGGGAATTTCGTCCCAGGAAAATATTTCTACATTGAGCTCGAAGGTGCAGGGAGGATGCCCTTACTTCACTTCGGTATGACCGGGATGCTACATGTACGTCTATATACGTCTTCCGTGCATTCTTCGATCAGGGTCCACCATTTCCTTCAAGGTCAAGGGCCAGCCTACCATTCAGTACAGGAGGAAAGTTCACGAGGACCCCGATGTATGGCCGCCTAGATTCATGAAGGTTTGTCATTCACCCTTTCTTGTATTTGCCACCTAACTGCCAGCTTTCGACAGTTCATCTTGCACATCGAGGCCGAGACATCAGGCACAACAACCGAACTGGCATTTTCTGACGCACGTCGCCTGGGGCGTATTCGTCTTGTCATTCACCCCAGAGAAGAACCGCCTATATCTGGACTTGGCTTCGATCCAATCTTAACCATGCCTCCACTGTGGGAATTTCAGACCCTCGTTCTGAAAAGGTCGTGTCCAATCAAGGCTCTTCTATTAGACCAATCCTTCAGTGCAGGCGTTGGAAACTACCTTGCTGGTGAGGGGATTTTATGGATTGTCGATGTTTTATCCTATGGGATCTGTGATCAGATGAAATATTATATCAAGCAAAGGTTCACCCTGAACAGCGGTGCAATACTTTTCTACAAAACCAAGTCGAAGCCTTGCACCGTGAAGTAGCTGATGTTTGTCGAATTGCTGTGGAAGCCGATGCCGACGATGAGAAATACCCCTCTCATTGGCTCTTCAAACATCGCTGGGTAATTTTCACCTCCGTCAGACGATCTGCTGATCTCCAAAACCTTCGCCAGGGAAAAGGTAAGAAGGCGCAGCAATCCATGAAGCTAGTATGCTTGTTTCCTCGACTCTGCTCGCACACACTAATTTTAGGTGTTTTGAGCCTTCTGGGGAATCTGCGACTATCAAGTGGATCACTGTTGGTGGCCGTACCTCCGCCTTTGTGGCTGAGGTCCAATGCCTTCCGCACAAGCAAAGAGCAGGGAAGACCGAGGTACATTTTAGGTTCAGCTTTCAGCTTTGCATGTTCACTCCCTTGAAATCCCTTGAACTTCCTAGGCCACCACAGAGGACGAGAGCGATTTGACGCCTTTGTCTTCAGACGATGATGATGATCGTCCCATGGTTGCATCGCGCAAGCGCAAGGTAAGAATTTCAACTCTGGGAATTTCGGCACTCAACTGCACAACTGCATTTTACAGCTAAAATCCGAGACTACCAGAAGAAAGAGCGTAGGTTCTTCGTATACAGGAGAGCCTCTCCGTGAGAAGCGTCCTCGCCTCAAAAAGCACTGAGCGCTCGGGATTGTATGCCTTTAGGTACAGTTTTACCATCCCTGTATGTGCGTTCATCGGCTTTATGGCCATCCTCTATTTTTTGAACTACCCAATACTCTGTCTCTCGTCGTGTGACATGAGCTGCCCTGACGCTCCAGCCCTTCGAATCTCATGAATCTCACCTGTATGCTGACGTCACTACACGGAGGTCCGTGTCGTGCTAACACCATCAGTGTGGTAGATTTACCCCATGCCGCTAAACAATAAATAAACACCCGTCCCTTCCTCGAACCCCAGAATGATGATTGTTCTTCCACAGCTACTAGAAACGTAACAAAGACCGTACATCTCGAAACATTCCCAAGGGATTCGCTGAGCTTCGGAGCTGGAGCTGCTAAAATTTTGAAATTGGGTCTGATGACAATAACAATCATGTCACTTTCACGGGGCACGCCGCGCACCGCGATGAATATCTATGTGCCGTTCGGGCCCCAATTGTAAGTAGTTTGGATCTTTAAGAAAGGTGTTCATCCGGCTCCTTCCGGAAACTCGTCAACTATCGCTGCTGATCCATACTGCGGGCAAGAACGGTATAGGGTTATTGGTCCAGCAGCTCCAGCCTACTTGGCAGTGCTAAACCGTTGGCCGCATGCACTATACGTGTCCATTTTTACAATTCAAAAGCTGTCGCATCAATTGGTATATCACAGGTCCGAAACCCGAGGGTGACAGCTTGCCTCTGAGATGATTGATGCGTCATCAATGAGCTGGGGAAAGTTTCAGTGATGACATGCAGTTTCTCATTCATTCTTTTAACACAACCAAGTTAGGAGCGGAGTCCTCAAACGCTCCAAGGGTTGTTGAAAATGTAGGGTCGATCGGCGGTGGTAACAACGTGACAAACGTACTGAGAAAACTTGGACTTCATCACAAGTTAGGAAGCACAATGATGGATTCGACTACCCACTAAAATAACATTACATATGCTCAGACAATCGAGGAGTGTTTGGGAGGAAGACAACGAGAAAACAACAGTATCGAGAATGGATAAGCGTAGATGAAATTACGACGTCACTGAAGGAAGAATAGAGAACATCAGTTCAAGGTCAAAGGAAACACAAAGCTAGAGACTCACTGTAAGTAGCAGGATCAATGTGGTCGGGAAGCTCGGGCACAGCGACTTCAAAGCGTGATTGGATGGCAGACATGACTTGTTGATCTGCCTCACTTGATTGGAACGTGATCGCCAAACCCTTCGTCCCGAAACGACCTGCACGACCGACACGATGAAGGTAGCTATCCGCATCTGGCGGACAGTCGTAGTTGATCACGATGTTGACCCGTTCGACATCAATGCCACGACCAAAAATGTCGGTTGCGACAAGTATGCGCTTTTCAAAGGCCTTGAACGCAGTATAACGATTTATACTAGAGCGAGCGCTTAGTAAGAAGTACCCGTACTGGAGAGCCACTGCTAGTTACTCACCGTTCCTCTTGAGCCAAGCCTGAATGAATGCTGATACTAGGAAAATTGCAAGACACTAGGAGCTTGTCCAGCTCAACAGCTCTTGCGACTGATTTGACGAAGATAACCACCTGAAGACCATAAATAAACAAGTCGATCAGACAAGACAATACGCACTTGGTTGAACTCTAGGGTGTCTAGTAGCTCGTTCAACTTCCGGTTCTTCGCGTTCTCATCAAGCTTCACGTAGTGTTGTTGCAGTCCGTGCAGCGTCAACTTCGTCTCATCATCAACAAAGATCTCCAAAGGCTGCCGGAAGTGTCAGTGGGAAGTGCACGAGACAGAACACATCACATACATTTGCCATGAATTTCTTGCACGTGGCCCTAATTTCTTTCGCTAGCGTGGCACTGAACATCATCACCTGCTTGTGGTGAGGTGTTGCACGGAAGATTTCTTGGACGTCTCGACGCATGTCTGCGAATCAAACAAAGAACACCAGGGAGATGCGGTTAGACTATTGCCGAAATTTTGAGAGGGGAAGGGACTCAAAAATCGCCAGAAGACGATATGACAAGTGTAAAGAATGGGAATGGAGATAGGATGATACGTTATGTATGTAATCTCATCAACCCAACAAAGATCCCAAGACCCTGCATCTACAGCGCGTTTCAGGGCGCACAAGGCGCCCGCGCCCTCGGCGGAGGGAGGGGACGTTGACGAGACAAGTGCCTCTTGCGGCGGCGGCAACCGGTACCAAGATACCGCAGAATCGTAGCCGAAATCGAATCGCAGGATGAGACTAACCAAGCTGTTCTAGCATTTTATCGCACTCATCCAAAATGAAGTGCTTGACGTTCTTTGCATCCAAAATTTTGTCTCTTGTAAGGGCATTGAGTCGTCCAGGAGTGGCCACGACAATGTGGGGACAGCGTGTCTTGTCACGAAGGGTCTCCGCATCCTTTTGAACGGGGGTGCCGCCATAGAATGTGCCAACCCGCACGTCGGGCATATACTTGGCAAAGCGGGTGTATTCATTCTTGATCTGGAAAGCGAGCTCGCGGGTGTGGCAGAGAACAATAACAGAAACTTCTCCGTTGACGGGCTCCAGTTGCTGCAAAGTCGCGAGCACGAAGACTGCTGTCTTACCATGCCCTGACTTTGCTTGGCAGAGAACGTCCATTCCCAGAACAGCCTGAGGAATGCATTCTTGTTGAACTGTCAAAAGAAGTTCTGTGAGTTGTGAATACCAATTCAACCGTCACTGAAGCATACCTTCTGAGGGGTGCTCGAAACCCAAGTCACTGATGGCTCTCAGAAGTTCAGGTTTTAACAAGAAGTCCCTGTGAAAAAAGGAGGCAAATTGTCAGATGGGCTTGGTTCGTGGCAAAATGAACAGACAACACACCTGAAGCCCGTCGAATGTATTCCGGAGAAGTTTTTCTTGTCTTTGTCGACCTCGCCATCCACTGCTGACGCCGCTGTCCCGTTGGCAACAGCAGCAGAAGCTGTGCCATTGGGGATAACGTCGTGCTCATCCTCATAGTCGATAAGTTCCTCGTTGTCGTGGGAGCTCATTGTTGTGCAGAAAGAGAGTAGGTTGTCAGATAGGTGGTCGGCAGAAGTGGAGAAAAAGCAAGCAAGAAGAGAAGAAGGTTGAGGTTAAAGAGCAACAGCACAAAAATGCGGCTGTTCTAAATGCGGCGCGCTTACTAATTTGGAATCACGTGCGCACGGACCCTCAATCCATTATGCATGGACAGTCATTGCGTGTTTCCAATGCCTTCGATCAACCTTGCATTAGTGCTACTGGTTGGCGAGCAAGTGCTGGAACACATGATCATGATGCATGAACCACGGTTGTTGTCCGTTCTATATGGTCAGGCGCTGCCAACAAAACCTGGTGGAGTCACGTTAATTGCTGTAGAGAAACATCAGTTTATGAAGTCTACTGAGCAATTTCTGTAGACTGTCTGCCTTGCCAGAGGATCTCATGGGCATCGCAAGGTCTCCTATGGTCTCCTTAGGCTTTGATCAATAGATATGTCGCGTAACTCTCAATCCTAGAGCGTGATCGCTTAGTTACTGTTGCTCAGACCGCGAGAATTGACGCCCTTTGCCCAACTTGACTCTAAGTGAGAAGGGGAAACTAGTAGACGTCGGCGATCGTGCCTCCATGTTCAAATATTGCAACAGATCGAGCGCGGTCTCCCGTCTCCCGCGTAACTTCGGATTTTCTTTATTTGTCCGTGTATTTGATTGACAGAATATTGATATTTTGACTTTATGGCATATGACCGACGCACAAAAATTTCAGGATACGCATCACACGACGCATAACATATGCCTCGGTTTTAATCGGTGGAGTATTGACACAGGCGGGCACCCGTTTATAAGGAGAGGTGGGCACCATGAGTCTCAGGGAACGAAATAAGATGCCCAACTATCCGTTTTGGTGAGTTTCACAACAGTCGGACAAACCCTTCAAAGATTTGCTAACTGGCATATGGCTTGATTTCAAAGGCTTGGAGGTAAGATGATCCAGCTATTACACATGTTACCGGGCACTGCTCACTATCATGACTAGGCGTCGCGGCATCCAGTGAGTAACTGTACATCCTCACTGACCACAATGCGCCTGACGCCTTGCAGTGGCCGCATGTTTCACGCATCCCCTTGACCTGGCCAAAGTGTAAGTGTGGTTCACTCAGCCCTCGTGATAGCATATTCATACCCTCAACAGGCGCATGCAGAGTCTGGGTCCTACTGTACCAAGTCCATCTATGCTCAAAATCTTACGCAACTCGATATCCAACTCTGGACTGCGTAGTGTTTATACCGGTCTCTCCGCATCGCTTATGCGTCAAATGACCTACTCGCTCGTCCGTCTAGGCAGCTACGAGGAGATGAAACGCCTCATGTCCGAGAATGGTCAATCCCCATCCGCGGGGAAGCTTCTCCTGGCAGCTGGAGTGGCTGGCGGTTTGGGAGGAATCGCAGGAAATCCTGCAGGTACGCCCATGATATATCATTTTTGGCTGTCATACGTAATAATTGCTTGCAGATATTCTGCTGGTTCGAATGACCAGTGACTCCATTCGTCCTCCGGAAAAACGCTACAACTACCGCAACGGTATCACTGGGCTCATCTCATTAGTGAAGGAGGATGGCCGGAAAGGTCTTGCACGTGGCCTCGGAACAAACACAGTTTGTGCATTTGACATCACATCTAGCTCTCACTGACTATGAGCACTGCAAAGACCCGAGCAGTTTTGATGAATGTAACTTAATGTCCTATCTTCCGTTAGAGTGATGCTAACGCGACGTACAATACAGACATCACAGGTTGGATCGTGAGTATGGCGTTATTACCTCTTTGCTGCATCAGTTCATCTGGTCTCGACAGCTATGACTTTTTTAAAACCACTCTCTTGCAATACCCTATACCCTTGGTCAACTATCAATTCCATGACGGTTTCTTCTTGCACGTAGTTGCAAGTCTTGCAGCCGGAACATGCGGCACGAGTGAGTTGCCTGCTATGAAGTCACCAGAATGTTGTTGATTATATGATTCAAGCTGTATGCTCTCCTGCTGATGTCATAAGGACAAGGATCATGGGTTCTGTATGTATTCCTTCAAATATCAAATTCTCGCGATGGAGTTTGACAATCACTTCCAGTCCGGAAATGCCAGCCCAATAGAGGTCCTGGTCCGTTCCTTGCGCGAGGAAGGTCCCGCGTTCATGTTCAAAGGCTGGACGCCCGCTTGGATGCGTCTTGGCCCAAACACCGTCCTGATGTTCGTCTTTTTCGAGGTAAGCTGAGCAAACTTTTCTCGTCTCCGCACATCAACGTCTTTGTTCCCAACAGCAACTGAAACGCGGCTGGTCCTCCTTGGTCACCCCGTAATCTTCATCCAATTTACCTGCATATCATGAGGCACACAATTACTTGTATCCACAAGTTGTCGGATTGGCGCTTGGACATCCACATAAATACCATTAAGACGTTAGATGATGTCCTAGACATATAATGTTGGATACCTATCACTTTCGCTCTCTCTGTACACTCGTGTATTATTATCTACTGAGGTGGAGTTCATAACTGCTTACTACCTATTCGTTCTTACAATAGCTCGCCTGGCGGACTCTGGTATGTTATATAGAACACCTACGAAGATAAGGACAAACTTAGGACCTGTAAATTTTCTGAAATCACTTATGTGGTACCGTTGCGCATGCAAGCCAATTGGGGATCTGGTCTTTGGATCTAACTTTTCAAATTTCGGGATACTTTCGCTCACGTGACCACTGACCAGCATCTCAGTCAATCGAGAAAGTCTCTCATTACACTCACTCCGCTAATTCTGCAAGTTTTCGTTGGCCATTCGCTAGCTGTGTTTGACAGTCATTATGGAAGCATTCCAGCTCCTTTCTCGAGGAGGTGCACGCTTTGACAAACAGAGATTCAAGGCTGACGTCCAGATATTTAATGTAAGAAAAGGTGTCCATAACTTGAAGCTGCTTCAATGGCTCATGTCTTTGCAGAAGGCACCAGCAAAAGACGTTAAAGGAAAGGGGGCCCTGATATCGCATGATGCACAATTACCTGCAGAGTTGGACTTTTTCAAATATGCTAAAGCTTCTGCCGGGAAGCGGAAAGCTGGGGAAAAAGAGAGTGACGTTCATGCCGAAGACAAGCAAGGAAAGGTGGAACGCAAGCGTCGGAAGATAGAAGATGAATCAATGCACTCAGACGGTGATCACATTGGTGCAGAGGAAGAGGCGCCCACCATGCAGAAACATCGCGTGACTGCCAAAGGGTCAGATGTACCTGAACCAATTGTGTCCTTCGAGGACCTGCGCGAACGATATCAAGTCTCTCCGCGTCTGTTATCAAACCTTTCTGAAAACAGTTACAAACATCCTACTGGGATTCAGGCTCATGGGATTCCGATTTTGCTTGAGGTGAGCCTACCAGACGTTCCTTCTCATGGTCCGGATGATGCTGACGATTCTTGCAGCACCGTGACCTTGCTGCTATCTCGCCCACGGGTACGGGTAAAACCCTAGCATATCTGATGCCCATTATGTCTGCCCTGGGTTCCCCGATATCTAGTATGAAGAACGATGGAGGTCGCGGAGTCCGAGCTGTTATTCTTGCGCCGACTCGGGAATTGGCACACCAGATTCACAATGAGTGCCTGAAACTCGCTGCTGGGCGTAAATGGCGCGCGGTCCTGTTTAGCAAAGCTACAGCTAGTACCCTGAGCGACAAGAACGTTAGAGACAAAGTAGGTACGCTACATTCATACGCTGTGCACTCTCTATCCAGACTGATACTGTATAGACATCATCGTCAGCACACCCCTTCGGCTAGTAGCCTCCATTCAGGAAGGAAATCTGGAGTTGAATAAGTACGCCATGAACTGCCTGTCCTATTGTGCACATGGCTCACTCTTATAACTAGCGTGCAATATCTTGTATTGGATGAAGCCGACAGAATGCTTGATTCTGAATTCTTGTCTCAAGTCCAAGAAGTTATCGGGGCATGCACTCATCCGAACATACAAAAGGCGGTTTTTTCCGCCACTTTACCTGCTGGTGCTGAGAAACTTGCGATGGGGATTCTTAGGAACCCCATACGTATCATTGTTGGTCTCAAGTACGAATCGAACACCGAATTCCTGTGTACAGACGCTAACTTTGCTTTTTAGAGATACTCCGCTCCCGTTGATCGCACAAACTCTTACATATGTGGCCGATGATGCCTCCAAGCTCCCAAGTCTGCTGACGCATCTTTCTCAACCATACAACCCGCCTCTCCTTGTCTTCACATCCACCCAGCCAAGAACAACGTCGCTTGCAGAGGAGTTGACAATGAACGGCATTTCAAATGTGGACTGTCTTCATGCTGGGATGACCAAAAAAGAGCGTGATGATGCAGTAAGCAGGATGCGCCGTGGTGACAGCTGGGTTATGGTGACCACAGAGGTCATGGCTCGTGGCATGGACTTCAAAGGCATCCGAGAGGTGATCAATTACGATTTCCCAACTAGTATCCAGAGTTACGTCCATCGAATAGGTACCATCCCTGTTTTCTGATCAACTTGTCTCCGCACTTAATCTTCGCAGGCCGTACGGGTCGCGCCGGGCGGGAGGGAAAAGCTGTGACTTATTTCACAGATGAAGATGCACCTTTCTTAAAAGCGTACGTGAAGCTCGGCCATTTTTTGCCGACGCCTAGCTGATGAACCCCTGAACCCCTTACCTAGTATTGCCAACGTGCTGTTACAGTCCGGTTCTTCGGTTCCAGAATGGATTCTCAAACTTCCGAAACCGTCAAAAATGAAGCGAAAACAGATGGGCAAGGTGAAGCGAGCAGATACCGTGAATGATGCCCGCAAAATAGGTCGCAGTGATGCGATTAAGAAGAGGTTGGTTCATTTAAAGCTTCGGGTACTACTTCCCTCTCATGTCGATGTAAAGGGAGATGATCGCGGGTTCGAAGAGGCGGAAAGAGAAAGAGTTCCGTGAAGCCGATAAAAAAAACGGCGTCGGGGAAGAGGACAGATCAGATAAATGAGTGTGTAGATTCTTCTTTCGAAAACTCGAGAAAGCACGTCGTTTTTTTACTGTCAATGTCAGAAGGCCTCAAGTATTGATGAACATGTCATAACGGCATTGGCAGCACTGGTATTCCAAAATTCTTTGAGCTACAAGAAGCTTGAAAATGCTATGTATTTCCTTGCAAGGAACCAACCCTGGTCAAGATAACGACTCGTTCACCGAAACGTGGGCGTAAACGATAATCGATGGTGAGCGGCTGACGATGAGCAAATCATTTAATGTGATTATGTGAAAGGTGAAGGGAGGCTGGGGTGGGGTGATAATGATGTGAAGATGTGACAAGGTGTGATCCATCATGGATTTCGGAGCCCTGAAGGTTTGCTTCCGAAGAGCATTATGTCAAGATAAAACGCCGCGCCGCTGGGATGAGGTCTCTCCACGAGGCAATCCCTGGGAATCCTTGTAGAGGTGAGTCCGCCGCCACGAGCTACACAAATCAGCCCACAAAGTGGTGATCAAAGTTACTTTTCTCGGCTGATTTTGGGCCAGGATTTCCAGTGCCGCACGTTTTGCTGCACGTTTTGCTGGTAAGCAGTAGACTTCGTTATCGCCTGTATTGAAGCCTATTGATTCTTGAAGCTTATTCGTATCTTGATTCCGCTCCTTTCACAGAACAACGGTCGCAAGGCGGAAATCTAGACGGCTTGACGGATATGGAAGAGCTCAAGGGCCTTATGACCTCAAGGCAGCCTCGTGGTGACGGGGCAAAGTGGTTGTACTAGCTCTCCTCCATAGTTCTTAAGCGCTTCATTATGGGGGCAAAATGAATACATTAATCAACTGCGATCCTCCTCTACGCCTCACCTCTACACTTCTCCCCCAGCTTTATCTTTGATACTACACCTATCTTCAAAAAATAGCCTTGTTGTCATGCCTAACGTTCGCAACGTTGTTCGTCGATCTCGTCGACTATCACATCAGTCACCGATTGCAGGTACGACGATCATTTCCTTGTTTGACCTTGTGGGTCCGAACGTTTTCGAACGATCGTTAATTGTTACCGCAGCTGAAGATTATGTTTATGAAGATTCCCACTTTGCTCAGTCGGGCTATTCAAGCGTTAGGACCGTTGGCATCCCTTCGGTTTATGCTACCCCCCCATCTGCTGTTGAAACTACAACCTCCCACATCTCCCCATCACTATCCCCTGTCCTATCCCACTTGCTGTCGTTCCCCAATCGTACATCACACTCCCGTAAAAAAGAGGAAGGCCACATACCCCGCCCTCCCAACGCCTTCATAGTGTTTCGCTCTTGCCTCTGGAGTAATGAAGATTTTAGAAGCCTAGAATCCGACCATCGCAACGTTTCGCGCATAGCCGGCGAGAGATGGCGTAACTTATCTGACAACGAGAAGGAACCTTTCGTGCAGATGGCGAAAGAGGCTAAAGCACTGCACGCAAAGATGTATCCCAACTACAAATACTCTCCCTCTCATCGCACCATCGGGGGACCGAAGCGGAAGGGGAGACGCAACAGCGATGAGGAAAGGACCAAGTGCGACATGATTGCTACCCTCCTGCAGAAAGGCGTCGAGGGTTCTGCATTGGCGCACGCAATGGCACATGTTAAATCTGAAGATGAAGACGAGATCGTACCGACACCCATCATCCCTCCACAAGCCCCCATAGTCATCCCAAGGGCTCTTCCTCCTGTCCAATCGCGTGAACATCGCAGAAAGAAGGTAGCTGATCGTCCTCGAACTACCCGTCCAACCACCACGCAACGTCGCACTGCAGGCCCTGACCTCGCCAGCACGAGTACTTGTCCATTCCCAGTTGCCTCTCCTTCCCAGGAGGCTGGACATACTCCAGGGAAATTCATCGGTTCTCCCGAACTACTGTATCCAGTCGATGTGATGGAGGATTTCGTTCCTACTGATGAAATCCCGCCTCTAAATCTCGATGCTTTATGTGATATGAAGGTATGACATTCCCCATACACCGTTAACTTAATGTCACTCATCATTGGACGGGAAGGTTGCGGAACAGGAAACATCTAGCATCTTCTACCAAGGCATGAAGCCAGCTGCAGGGCTCGCCTACTTCGGTGCTGAGCTTGATGTCATGCCTTTCGACTCCTACTTCCTCGGCGCCGACCTGCAGCTACCCCCGACTCCTCCCCTTATCGAAAACAATGAGTCTCCCCTGAGTGACTATACATGTCCGCTTTCGACGCCCCCTCGGTCTCCAATTGTCTTTACCAACCCTTGGACTACTTTCCTCACGCCTTGTTCGCCGGACAACGAGTTCGACAAGTACTTCGTACAGCCAATCGCTGCTGTGCCGTCTTCGCTTCCGTCCCCGTACAGCCCGTTCAAGGACGACGACATATCCAGGTTCATGCCCGAGGGAATTGATTCCATTACTAAAGACATTCATCCCGAGGTTAATCTCGATGACTGGATTCACTTCAACCAGTTTTAAAAGTCTCAGACACACCCTCTCGCTCTATGCTCATACAGTTTCATCATTCAAGGAATATACCACACATGCTCACGACATTGACGATCTTTTTTTCCATTTTACCCTCATCTCGCACTTCTGCATACCCAGCAAGCACATATCGCAACTCTTGTCACATACCATGTAAATTCTTGTATTTCTAGAAGACCCTGGTTATTACAGCCAACACATATATGCCATTAGATGTCCAAAATTTGTGTATATACCATTTAATTCGTACATAATTGAACTCATCGTTTGACTTTCTTTGAAGACGCCACTTTGTCTGGATTCTGCACTCTCTTATTGCCCATGGTGGCGGCCTTTAGCTCTTCCAGGTCGATGCGTCCTGCACTCTTCTCTTCCTTCAACCAGACAAGGCAGTCACCTTGGGTACCGTCGGGATGTCCGAGTTGCCATTCCAGCACCCTGTTAACCATCGCTTTCATCCACGGACCAGGCTTTTCGTCCATGGCGCGGGCAATCGCCTGGCCCTGTGACAGCTCAGCCCGAAGCTAGGCGTAGTGAAATTAAAAAGTTCTCACGTCTAGTATCGGCTTAGCATCCACTGCTTTGTCCAACCCAAGTTCTTCGACTCGGCGCGTCAATGCATTGTAACGCTGAACGCACTCTGCTGCTTCTTCACGACCAGATGCCGAGACAAGCTCGCACACGAGAGAGAACACAAGGGAGCTAGCCCAGTGGGAACCCGTGTTTATATTATGGACACTTTCCTGTCGTAGCAAAAGCCCTGGACACCAGACACCATCGTTAATCGAATTGGGCTGCACGATCATCAAGCATACCTATAGAAACCCTTTCCAAGGGCAGTTTTAGCCTGTCCTGCCCCAGCGAAACACCGCTCAAGAGGTCAGAAGCAGAATATAGGGCAGGTATGCCGTCCAGATAATGATTTTGTCTTCCAAGCTTGAGGCCGTCCTGGAGTGCGCACTTGACGAGGGTTTGTTCCTTGCCTTTCGGATCCGGGTACGTGATTCCATGATACGAATAGAGACTGGCTGCAAGGAACAGACGTGCCTTACACCCGGGCTCTTGCAGAACGTATGATTGGAGAGTAGGATGCAAAGGCATCAAACCTTCGTTGTGTGAAGTGGATGTAAGGAGGCCATGCAAAATGGTAGCGGCGCGCAAATTAAGGTCCTGTGATTTCGGAGTAGACGATGCGATGCTGATAATCTTTGGTGGGACGTGGTATATACTCTTATAGAGTTTGAGATCATTAATAATACGTATCGAGCGGAGAGGATCCTGCCCTGCACGTCATGAGGAACCCGTCAGATTTCTTTCTCGCGGAATGGTCAACACGGACCTTTCATCATTTTATCAATTTCTTCGCCAACTCGTTCTCGGCTTATTTTTTGTGCGAGGCTATCTTGAATTATCTCAAGTTGGGCAGCTTGCTGCAGATCAGGATCAATTTCGAAACCGAAGCGGCTTGCGAAGCGAACGCATCGTATGACGCGCAGAGGATCGTCCAGGAAAGTTTCACGTGGCGGCAATGGTGTCCGAATAATACCATTTTGAAGGTCATCGAGACCCTATCCATGTTGCGTCAGTATCACCGATATCAGTGATATCCGTGACATGAACTTACCTTTTCGGTGAAATCCTCAACTGAACGAGTATGAACGTTGTAGAACAACGAATTAATAGTGAGGTCCCTCCGCAGAGCATCCTCCAGCGGTGTACCAAATTTCTGTATGTGATCTGGTCAAGTTCTGCGCGTTCTTCCAAGAGACCTTGAACACACAACTTCAGTCGGTATGCGACTATCTTCTGCATACTCCTCGCTTCTTAGATTCACGAAATCGAGGTCTATGCCAAGGAGAGTAGTCCGTGCAGTTTCCAAGTGCTTGGATTGATCAGGGTTGCTCTCAATTTTCGCGATTTTGTGGACATGAAGATCCTTCTGCTCAGACAGAAATGCTACAAAACCTTCCGCGAATGTCACACCCATCATATCGGCGAGACAGATGTCAATATCATTGCTGTCCATGCCCAGTAACTGTAACACATGAGAGCTTGCCCCGAACTATAACAGAGGTCCAGATTGACCTTGTCCCTGACCCATCCCCCGTTTATCCTGCATGCAGTCGTGATATTCTTGTTCTCCTGAAGATGGCGCGTAAATTCGTCGAGTAAAGTGCACAGATGATCCTCAGCGTCGGTCAGTTGGATTTCTTTCTTGACAGCAGGCGCAATACGAGTTGCCATGTTTCTGCAGTGATTATAGCCCAATAAACGTCGCGAATGTTGATATCTGGTGAAAGCAGCAAATTCTAGGACATTACAAGTGACTCGATGAAACATGAGCCAAATGCCGATTGGCCGCTTTGTGCGAGTAAGGCAGTTGAAGCGGAGATCAAACACCTTCCGCATGGGGCGGCGCTGGCATCCGGTGCCGGCGCTCCACCGACCCATTCATTTCGAGCCTGTGCAGCACGACGACCTGCTTCTCCCCCTACGACCCATTCCTCGCACATAAGCTTCTTTGTTAATTTTCACAAATGGGTCGTGTATTGCTCAAGGTCCGTTTGTTATACTTTTGCAAATATGTCTTATTATTGACTCATCCGGTCAGGTTATTATCTTAGGCGACAGTGGGTGCGTGCTGCAAAGTATCTAGCCTTTGGCCCAAGGAATTGAAACTTATATCTGGTCTTGTTTGTGTAGTGTCGGCAAAACATCACTCATGAACCAATATGTGAACAAGCGGTTCAGCAACCAGTACAAGGCCACCATTGGAGCCGACTTGTAAGTGCCCTTTTACATTCGTGGCTCCGTTCACGGTTCTTATCTGTTCTCAGCCTTACAAAGGAAGTCATGGTGGATGACCGTCTGGTCACAATGCAGGTGCGTGTGTGTTATAGTAGGGTAGTTGCGTCAGCCCGACTGACGAGGATGCTCAGCTCTGGGACACTGCTGGACAGGAGCGCTTCCAATCTCTAGGTGTGGCTTACTACCGCGGTGCAGATTGCTGTGTGCTTGTATATGATGTGAACAGCGCCAAGTCGTTTGAAACCCTCGACAGCTGGCGTGATGAGTTCCTTATTCAGGCAAGCCCGCACGACCCAGAGAACTTCCCCTTTGTCGTGTTGGGGAATAAGATCGATGTGGAGGAGAACAAGCGACAGGTCCGTCAAAGGAAGCGTCACAACGTATGTTTCCTTTGCTTACATGCTTTGTAGGTGACACAGAAGCGGGCTATGACGTGGTGTCAATCAAAGGGCAATATCCCTTACTTCGAGACTTCTGCCAAGGAGGCTATCAATGTCGAGCAGGCATTCCAGACTGTCTCAAAGAATGCACTGCAACAAGAAGCAGAAGAACAGCTGTGTGTTTATTTGATTATGTCTTATATCTGGCTATCTTGCTTACGACAGGTGATAGGTATGTTGATTACCCGGACCCAATCCAGATTGACCGGGAGAGCACACAAAACTATGGGTGCAATTGTTAATGGATAATCTATGGACTGGGATTTCTTCTGTTGGTCATGCTCTCTACGGCATCTTGCCGTTTGTTACCCCTTGCAGTTACGCCGAGTAATATTTTACACTGTTCTCTATCGCGTACATCACGAACGCTGTTGATCTCATCTATTCATGACGCAGGCTACGGCGGATTGCGATAGGCACAAGAAATGGGGGGTCATACTGAGTGGTGACAATAGGTAAGTACAGATAAACACAAAAGGCAGCAAACACAGCCACCAGACGGTAAGTTGAGGTCCGAGAGTTCAATTCCACAGCCTAAACACCGATGCGGATGTGCTTCAGTCTTTGATGCAGGGTCAAGCTGTAATGGGGTTATCAGGCGGCGAGGCAAACATCACGAAGTCACGAGTATTAATGACACAAGGCAAACATCGGTATTTTTGCGAACAATGACTTGACTCCACGTAAATGCTACTAAAAGTTTCCCATTTTACAGCCAAGGGCACTGGTAATTAAAGAGCATTTGCTCGGTACTTTCGTGTTTCAGTGAAATACCGTATAGCATGTGGTCAGTACTTCAGCGCTTCAGCAGTAACCATCTGCATATATCCTTATGTGTACGTTAAACACACAAGGATACGATGCAAGCCAAGAAATGACAACCGGCTCAAGTGAGATAAGAAATAATGCGCAATTGAAGGTTGGTACAAGTACAAGACACATTCCTTCCGCAATTCCTTCCTTGCTTCCAATAACTCATAGCTTGAATTCTGATTTCTGGTAGTTGACCTTGGCTGAGGCAGCGTTGTCGACGTACCAGTACACCTGGCCTGGGTGCGATGGTCTGACGCGAGAAGCAGGCAAGCCTGCTTCTGGGTTATCGATTATAGTGCTGAGAACATCAGCTTTGCCCTCGCCCGCTGCGACGAACACGACGCGTAAAGCATGGTTGAGAACCGGGAATGTCAAAGTGATGCGTTTCGGTGGAGGCTTCGGCGAGTCCTCGAGGTACGCAATCCACCTGTCCTCTTCCTTCAACAATTCATGACCCGGGAAGAGGGAACAGGTGTGTCCGTCTGGACCGATGCCGAGGAGGATGAGGTCGAAGACGGGAAAACGAGCAGAGTCTTTTTGGGCAAACTCGTTGATAAGCGCTTTCTCGTACGCGTCTGCGAGCTCTTCGAGGTCGTCCAAGAGGGAGACATCGATGGGATGAATGTTTTGTTTTGGTATGGGAACTTTGCTGAATAGCTCTTTCCGGCAAAGATTGTAGTTGGAGTCTTCGTGATCCAGCGGAACACAACGCTCATCGGCGAAAAAGACCTGCCTGTTGGATGCGTAAAATAGATATTTATTGGGATCTTTGAGCCGATCCTTACCATTTGTCCCATTTCACAGCTGGGTGATCAATGAGCTTATTCAACTGCTTTGGCAGGGAGCCACCTGAAAGAGCAACAGTGAACCTGCCCTTCTTGTCGATTGCTTCTTTCTGTGCTTTGACGATGAAAGCCGCGAGCTTCTCCGTCAACTCATTCGTGGAATCAAATGAGTAGAGAACGGGAGGACTCGGAGGGTGGTGGATGGAGGACATGATTAGGGGAACAGACTCTGGGAATGTGCGTTTTGGTTTCTTGCTTGATGATATATACCGTACCGTGTGACGTCAATAAATACAGACAAACAGAGGATATTTCTTCACGGTTCCGAGTCGGAAACCCAGGAAAATCGCAGAAAATCCAGAATAATCATGACATTCTCATGCAGTCATCGCCGACGTAGTTCGACTTATCTCTGGCGTCCAGTCCTTTCCGTCGTCATCTAACCTCTCTCGTATATCCATGTCAGCATTCTCGGCACTCCCTTCCACGCCCATCTCTGGGAAAATGGACAATAATAACGCGTCCACGAGTAATATTGCCAGGTGCATATTACACGCAGCGTCGTCGAGGGGACTGATAATGTCCTCGATAGTGCGTTCTGGCGATGATCCAAGAAGGACGGGAACCAGAAACGCTGGCACCTGTTCGCGCAATCGTCGAAGTAGCTGTTGGCGAATAATAATTTGTTCTTCTGGGGTGGGATCGATTGGAGGTGGGCCTGGGTATCCATTTGGGAATAAGGTACGCTTGGATAGTCGTAGTACAAATAGTATAGAGGACGCGCACAGGATTCGAGTGTAGAGTAAGTGGGTGAGGAGTCTTGAGGAACAAAGATTAGAAAGTGCATCATTAGAGATAGCAACTGCCTTACCGGTCCATGAACGGAGTCGTGGCTGCACAGATCATACACAACGTATGCATTACTGTACTTGTAGCAAAGCGCTCGTGCATTGTAAACAGCTCGGATATCATTGTGAGAGGCTGTCGAGCATAGTGACTGAATAAACGCTGAGGGTTGGGTGGAGGAATATCTGCATGCAGGGATGGAGTAGACGATGCAGCCGAGGCATATGATGATAAAGGTGGTGAGACCGATCTTGCACTCCTCGTGGGCGATATAGGAGCTTGGCGAGCTGTCCTCAATGGTTCACTTGCTCGCCGTTGATTAACTGTTGGGGGCGTGGAATGATTAACAAGTTTGATGGTACTAAGCGTCTGCTTATATGTTTGAATCAGGGCTAGGCCTATTCCAGAGATGGATTGTACAGCGGAGAGGAAGAATACAAGGATGGAATGAAAAGAGAAATGAGCGTGATGATTATGTGACGGTGGTGATACGCTTGGAGGCTACAATATCATTCGGTCAGAGTTTGATACGGTGACATATAAAATGGCAAACCTTGTCAGACTCTGCATCAAGTGATGGCCCGAGCAAGTCCAAAATTGTTCGCTGAATAAACCAAGGTTGGGTGACTCGCGGGATAACATCCTTCACTAGTACCTTGAGGATGATTTCACGCACGATGTATCGCTCAACCTCTGGAGCATAATCCTGAGGAGGGAGACATAATTTAAGTACATGGTCGAAAGCCTGGCGAAAGTATTCCTCGTCAATTTTACCCTCGGGAGAAATTGCTACGTGAGGCTGCAGCTGGTGAAAGAGGTGTGGAAGGGGTACAGCACCGCCCATTGCATACGAGGTAGACACTTTGGAAGCAGCGTGACGGTAGTCGCGATAGTGTTGCGTTATTAGAGCGGGGGCGACTGAAAATGTGAATAAGGAGAAGTCAGTGGATATCATGCGTGTTTCGAAAGTCCGAAGGACGGTCATGAGGACAATCGTGATTTCGGGAAGGAATTCCTTGTCATAACGAGTAATCTTGGTCCACCAAGTATTGACGAAGGCGCGCAAAGCAAGGGCAAGAAAATCATAGGCCTCGGCGTTGAGTTCGGGTAAACATGTTGGTGAAACAAACAACGGCGGTAAGTCTGAGCCTGGTGGTAAGTGCGGAAAGAGCAGACGCTTTGCAAGTGTTGCTGGCTGCTGCTGCTGCCCCTGCTGCTTTGTAGGGTTGGACGTGATACTGTTAGAATGCGTTGAGCGAGGACGGATGATGCCCGCCATATATTGATGCAACCAGTGCGCAACCGAAGTTCTTACCGGTCATCCATCATAATTACGTAACTGTCGTCAAATCAATGAATTTCCCATTGTCACTTGGCCAAGGGGTAGCCGAATGCACGTTTCCAGGTATCTATTTTATTCCCTTCAACGTTGACCAGGTAGACTGTTCAGTCCGCTTGCTGCTGTCTGTCATATCTAGCATCGACCCGTGCGTTATAGAACATTCTTCTGCAGTTTCGTTAAGCTAACATATTTGTACGACAGCAGTGCCGTCTTACCCATCTAGCATCCACTGTCATTCATTAACAATTCGACGCTCTTTACTTCCCTTCAGTATGGAACATAGATCTCATTATAATTCACCACGCAACTCTCTCGCCACCCAAATCTTTAGCGGGACCGGTGTCAACCACACAACTACAGTCATCATCGTGGTTCTCTGTGTCGTTGCAGGCACGTTGATCTTGTTCGGTCTTTTTCGCTTCCTACGCCATCGATTGGCTCGACGTTCCACTCCCTTACCCCCCGTGCAGCCTATTGCTCATTATCGTAAGCAGCGGCTGACAGAGTTTGATGAACGACCCACTATAACGTCAACATACTCCCTGTCTTCACGCCTTTCCCCGTCAATTGGATTATCGCCCGCTGCGAGTGATTCTTCATTTCTCCCCGCAAAGTACGACCAGACTTTTTCTTCGCAAACAAGTCTGTGTCTTGTGGAGAAAGGCGATGACCAAGATGTGCCGCTGCCTCCAGCGACGGACGAAGAAAATCTACGAATGCCAAATCCTGCATTTGGTCATGTCAGGCGTTTGAGTAGCAGCTCTTTGGGTTCTGCTTCCTCCACTCCCCCCTTAGCTTCTGTTGCATCGCGTTCGCCATCACAAGCTACGCTTTCCCGTTCGTATTCTCGCCGTACGGGTCCTACGTCTGCAGTATCCAGCACCTCCATCCGAAGTACGAAGAGTTCTAGAAGGAGCACTGTCGTAGGTGTCCCGCATGGACCACATAGTCAAGTCAGAGTCGTATTACCTGCTCCTCTCGCTCCTTCTCTGCATCCATATTTGTCTGGACCAGAAGCGGGTAGATTGGGTGTAGATGACCAGGCGTCAAACCGCACAACCATGGTCGATATGTGGGCAGCCCCGCTCCACAGGTCGGTGAGCTCTGATCATATCCGTAAGTGATGACTGTTTTTGTCCTTCGTGGATTTTCAAGCTGATTGTGTGGTAAGGACAAAATTCGCCCGCCATTTCTGCTACGTACCGGCACGGAGCTTCATCCCCTACAGCTCGACAGAGGACCTCCTCCTGCCATACACCGCCATCATCATTTTATTCCTATGCGATTGGTTCCCCTCCTGTTCCCCCAATTCCTACCCAGTACAGGCAATTCAGTGACGCACCTTACGCTACACAGCATCAGCAAACCGATCCTACGAGAGCCCGACCTCGCAGGCTCTCGCGACCCATTTCCGGAGGGACATATACTGCACAGCACGAGGACCGAGAAGAGAGTCCTCGCGAGTCCTTGACGCCGTTTCAACCGAGTAATAGCTGACGGGTCCGTGTGGTATTTACGCCCTGTAATGACCTTTGACGAGTTGGTCGAACTATCTATATTATACTTTATGTGTACGTGTTTCGGCGCCCAGACCCCTTTTTCGTGTACTTACAAGTCGCCACAGGAACTTGTCAGGAACCACAGGAACGTTTTGAACTCCTATTTTAAAATTGCGTGTAATTGTTGGCCGGACCCGAAGGCACTGGACTCCTTTCTCCCGCATTTCAGAATGAACATATACGAGTTATGATAGACGACCCAAGACATTGAGGCCAGCAACTCGAGTCACTGTATGAGACTGTATGCGTGGTTTGCTGTCTTCCTCTTTTGCCGCATGCAATCTATTCATGATTTATTCGGCTCACACAATGCACCACTAGTTCTAATCTACAGCAACAACTGACTCGTTTTGCGTTATGGACAGGCTGTATTGACATAAACATCTCATACACTAACCAGTGGCGGGCTCTGTCCAGGAGGACAACAGGGAACGTGGTACTGTCATAGAGCGCTCAGTGGCAGTGCGTCATGCTATGCGTTGCAGTCACGTCGTGGATCATTAACGTTCATCTTTCCTCCACTTATATTCGTTTCTGGATGCGGCTGACCGTTGCACTTTTCACCCTTGGGAGTGCAAAGATAGCATACATTAAGTGAATGCGAGAACCCTAACTGCTTTTGTTGTCGACGAAGAAATCGTGCCAGGGTCAAGTCAGGGTCATCGAACTGCATCCAGGCTCGGATGTGAGCCACTGCCCGTTAATCTCGCCTTCGTGCTAGTTCTCGTCGCCTTCCTTGGCAGGCACAGGAGTCTATCACAGACAGCCATAATCATAACTCAGATCGCCACTATGCATACATATAAAACATCAAAACAAGCCCAGATGCCCTTGATAGTATTTATTCCTTTCTACGGCGATCTGGTAAGAGGTTTTCTATGAGATATGGGCACTACTAAAGGCCGTGATGCTGGTTTTTAGTGCACTGAAGGCATTCATCACATCTACATTAGGTAGCTGGTAAAGAATGCGTTTTCACACAGGCTCTCGGGCATGTAAGTGCAATGGGTTGCCCATAAATTTCTGGTTTTTAATCCATTCCCTCTGCCAAATAGTTTCTCTCCTACTATTGATGCACTTTGCCGAGAAAGTCGCTGGACACGACCATAACTGGACTCAGTGTTTCGCCGACATCCAGGCGAATGCAATTGCCACCAATAATCTGGCTGGTCTCCTCAATGCAGACGGAGATCCCGTGTCGAATGTTTCCGATGCCGCAGCGGTCAGCTACGCGCTGTGTACCTCCTTCTGTGGGAACGCATGGGGTTTTGATATCTCTATATTTTCGCAAGATTTCAGTTCATGGCTACTGCCATACCTGGCGCTGATTTCGCAGCTCCCCTTTGGGGCACAGTACAGGCTTGATAATCTCATGTCTGCTGTGTTAACCGTTGGGTCACCGGCACTCGCTGGCTACTCTCTGTTCATCACCCTCCTCAATTCTCGCTGGATCAACCGCCGATTTAGTCAATCGGTGGACTATCCCAATTCACGTTTCGCAGTCTTCATTGTCAGCGGCCTTCAGCAAGTCCCGCTAGGACTGCATTCCGATCGCACACGCTTAGCATCCCTCATTGTCCTTCCGGAAAACGATTCCTGGTGGCAATACTTCTCTGAGTTGGTGGACTACACTCATACGTGGTCAATTGCGTCCGCGACCTCCATCGCCTGGGTTGTCGTTGCCTATATCCTGTCTATCGCCAACTCACCATCAGATGCTTTTGTAAATGCTCAAGCCGGCACCGAACCTACTAGTTCAATGTGGCTGTGGTTGATTCCCATAGTCATTGGATGGCTCCAACTCTCCCCGAAATGCGATTTCAATCGCTTACACGCAGCTTATGATCGCGCCAACCGACACACACGCACAGGAATGGCAGATGCTCCTACTGGAACACCACCTGCGTCCGCCCAAAGAGCTTTAACAATAACTGCTCATGAGGAGGAGGTATTGTCTCCAGACGAACTCCTCACTCCTCCGGTGTTTAATTATTCGCGTTCGCTGCAATGGGCATGTACAGCAGAGACCATCTTCCAGATGTACAAGGTGGCATCAGAGAAGGTTCAAAGACGTATTCCCGTCAATTTTGAGAATGAGTGGGTCGAGTCTGACGATTTTAAATCTATCCACCCCCGCAATCGACGTGGGTCGCCTCAGGAAATCACCGCGTATTGCACGCAACCCGATCGTGCACGGCGCAGCCATTGGGCACCTGGGGTGTTCACAAGAATGGCTCTCGCGTCATGTGCTTCGCTTGTATTACAATGGGGAACAGTGGGTGGAGCGTTTATAGTAGAGTGGTTCACTCCTACGATAGTGCGTCTTTTCTGATGTGCATGATATGTCAGCTGATTTCAGGTAGGGCATTGGGTGTCGATCTCTGAGTTACCTCATTTATGGAGTCGTCTCGACTTTCATTTGGATGATGCTCATGACATCCAGTATTCTCGCCCACTATTCTGCAGCTTATCCCTATCGAGCATCACTGTCTGCACGTCTTGCCCTGTCGGTATCGCACTGGCTGCGAAGGGTGGGCAAACTGTTGGCCATTGCGAACTCCATCTGGGCGGTCTTGGCGTGTTTCCTTCAATATTCCGGCGTCTACAATACATGTTTCTGCAATTCCAGTATGATTAGCAGGGGACAGGCTGCTGCATATGTTACGATGATCGAAACCGCAGCCCATGCTGCAATGGCCAAGTCTGCCTGGATTGGTGCCCTCGTCCTGGCATGTACCTCAGCGTCAGCTTTCGTCGCTCTCGTGAGTCTGTTATTGGATAGTCTTACGATATGACCTTTGTTGCAAATTTATTATTTTTAATGTGGTTATTTTTGAGTAATAATAAGCTTTATGTACGAGGCCGCTTCAGTGATGGCGGCGCACCGACGTGCGGCAACAGCAAATGCGAAAGTAACAGCGAAAAGCGGCCTACTCTGAGCTCCCCTATTGTGTTCACAACTACATGTGAGTTGCAGCGGCTAGGTTTCTTGCTACTCATGAGTACTGAGTAATAAGCACTTAATGCCCAATGAGAACAGGCAAGTTAGACGTGGATGTATATATCGAAAAGGGGCCGGGTAGATAGATTTTGCATTCGCTATTGAAACTACGTCGATCGATAGAGAAAGAAACATATGGATGCATTGATGTGTTTTGATATGTATCGCTATCGGATGATGTACAGCAAAGAAAAAATATACACTAGTGCGAAACGTGCATCCCCTGCTGCGCCAGTAGTAGCGCCAGCGGCCGCTGCTGTATTTGCTGCTACTAGTAAGATGACGTGCACTGGTGAGAACAATAGACATACCATTTGTGTCGCTTGCCCTTCAAAGACCTATTGCGAGAGGATTCGGCGCTGTGGAAGCCCAGATCGTACGAGGTTTGGGTTTTATGGTAGTGATGGTGTCGCAGGAATAATAAATGGCGTTGATGAGCTCGGAGTTAGGTAGTTAAGAAGACATTTGAAGCCACAAATAAAAAGAGCAAAAGACAGAAACTCACCTGTGTGATGAGAGATCAAAACAGCAGACGAGATGGTATTCTTACAGTTCGATGTCAGCTTAGAGTAATACAGAATACAGATAAAGTACCTTCCTTGTTGATATAGGGTGCAGATTTGTCCTCGTCAGAAGTTGGGAGATGCCTCATTAATCGTCTGGGAACGATGAGAAGCCTGAGGGCAAACAAGGCACAGACACACCTTACTATGTATTTTTTGATCCAATTGCTCGTCAAGCACCATTCCCTATATTGCTGGTGCGAGGGTGCTCCTCGTCATTGTATCTCCCGCGAGCAGCAGGGCTAGGTGTCGCTCGATATCGACGCTCTCCGGCTAAGGAGAAACCTCACAAATGACCAGCAAGCTCCTCGTCGTGACTGCTAACGGAAGTGCCACGGCTGGCTGACATGCTTTCAGCTCGAGCAGGTCGTCCATAATGACCATTCATTCTATGACTAGACTCAAGCTCTGGGGACTGGTCAACGGAAGACACATTAGTGACCGATTTTCTTTTATCCGCAACCGCATAACCAACGGCCTTCGAAAGTGTCTCTGCGTCCACGGAAGAGCGCGAGAGAGCTGCCCTAACTAAATTGCGGCCATTCAAAAACGCATTCACTCTTGGAGTAGAGGGCGCCGAAATCGCGAAGAAAGGCAGTACGCGACGCGAAAGTGTGGATATCATACATGGCCTGCGAGATCGGGCACTGTGGCCATGGTGGCGGGCAACAAGGAGATGGTAATGATGTAACATGGCAGAGGCAGACCGAATCTTTGGCGCCAAGATGTACAGCGGAGTCTGCACTAACTGCACCCAAAGACCGGCCAAAAACGAGACTTTCTGTCGTGTTCGTGGTCTCGTTTGAATAGATAGTGTTCAAGTTGGATGCGCTGGGGTCGTGTTGTGAAGGCACTCATCACACTGAAGTTCGAAATTCTTCAAGCTCCAAAGCGATATTAGTGTGTTGTTGGTGTACAGGCGGCAATGCAGGAGACTCGGAAACACAGGTGACGGGAAATATGTACAGGGTCGTGGAAAATACTCCACAGCTGCGTGCAGGAATTGCCGAAATGCAGGAATATAAAGGCTGGGTTGTACAGTGTCGCTGCAGAAACGTAAAATTGAACGCCATCGGATATGTTACTATCGACGTGATATCGATATGATACGTACGGATGAGAGCGCGGTCTTTGACAGTTGCGTTTATGTAACGAAGCTTTTGCTAAATAACCTCAAATATGGAATTGTCCTTCGGCAGGAGCAAAAGTTTTGTTTGCAAGCAACCCACTGGTCGCTCCAATGTTTACGGAGGGAACCGTCAGAGTAAGTCTGAACTGTTATGTGTCCTTAGCAAACGTACTGACATCTTTTTAGCGACGACTGAGTCGCCATACGTATTATGGCATTAGATCATTTACTATTCCTTGCTTTCGGATGCATTAATATCGACATGCGATTTGTTTTCCAAGCGTGTAATGTGCAAGACCGACGAATCGACAATAATAGAGACTAACTACCTCAATCTGAGACTAGTGCCATCACCAGCGCCGCCAGCCAGCGTCTTTCAACGTTTGACTGGGTGTCAGCAGGCAAACACGGCGAGATCCGCAGGCTGTATCCACCAGGCACCCCACTGCATTGCATTCTCCTTCAACTCGCCCTGCTCAAATTGGACCGTAAACAATTTCCTCTCGGATACGCACAGAGTGTGAAGTTCTAATACATTATGTTTGTATACGATTTCTAACGAGGCCAGGGACTGCGCAACTACGCAACATGGTTATGATGGTTACTATCATGGGAGTATCAATCACGCACGATGACCACAGATCATTGTCAGGGTGGGGGGGATCTTTGTCTGTAGGATCTAGATCATCGTATGTGGTTACATCGTCCCCTTAGTCCTTTTTGACCCTTACGGGTACCTTTTTGCAGGCTTGTCTTAAGCTCCAGTAATCACAGTCTGTCTGAGGTACTCAGGAATGCTGTATTTGATAGACACAGGAATCTGTGGCGGATCAGATCATAGCCGTGATGATCAATGGTGACATTGATATCTCAATTGAGCACATTAGTACCGCGCACTCATTCGATTCGATACCAGACCCCACTCATTGCTATAGAAGCTGTCAAGGACAGATCGCCCCTGACAATGACCTTATTTACATACAATGTGACATGTTTCCAGTACACGTCAGCGCTATTAAAGGCCGTGGTGCCAGTTTCTCCAAAGAAATTCATACGGGCTTACATCTACCTTGCACAGCGGGTAAAGCTGCATGCGCTTGCACACAGGTTCCCAGGCATGTAAGTGCGATGAGTGGACCACGGGTTTATGCTTTCTCACTCATTCCTTCTGCTTAGGTTTCTTACTTCTAGCGCATGCTATGGGGAGCGTCGCTAGACTCGATTTCTCTCAGTGTCTGAGTGGAATTGTGGAGAATGCGACTGCGACCCAAAATTTGACTGGTCTACTAAATGGCAACGGAGATCCCGTGTCGAATGTTTCTGACGCGACGGCGATCACCTATTCGCTGTGCACATCTGTCTGTGGGACTGGACAGGAACCTTTCCAGTGGCCTGTATTTTCGCAAGATTTCAGTTCGTGGCTACTACCAAACCTTGCACTAATTTCGCAGCTCCCTTTTGGGGCACAGTACAGGCTTGATAACCTCATGTCTGCTGTGTTGACCGTCGGGTCACCAGTACTTGCTGGTTACTCTCTGTTCATCACCCTCCTCAATTCTCGCTGGATTAACCGCCGATTTAGTCAAGCGGTAGACTATCCTAATTCATGTTTCGCAGTCTCTATCTTGAGCAGCCTTCAGCAAGTCCCGCTAAGACTGCATCTCGATCGTGCACACTTCCCCTCCCTCATTGTCCTTCCAGAAAACGACACTTGGTGGAAATATTTCTCTGAATTGGTGGACTACACTCATACATGGTCAATTGCGTCCGCGACTTCCATCACCTGGGTCGTTGTCGCCTTCATTCTGACATTAGCCAACTCACCATGGAATGATTACACAAACACACAAGCAGACGGCGACGCCACCATTTCAATGTGGCTCTGGTTGATTCCAATAGTTGTTGGATGGCTGCAGCTTTCCCCGAGATGCGATTTTGATCGCTTGCAATCTGCGTATGATCGTGCCGACCAATATGCACGTACGGGAATAGCGGATACTCATACAGGAATACCACCTGCATCCACCCGGAGAGCTTTAGCAATAACTGCTATGGACGAGGATGTGATGTCTCCAGACGAACTCCTCACCCCTCCGGTGTTCAATTACTCACGTTCGCTGCGATGGGCATATACAGCACAGATGATCTTCCTGATGTACAAAGCGGCATCAGAGAAGGCTCAAGCCCGTATTCCCGTTCGTTTTGGGAGCGGGTGGGTTGAGTCCAACACTATCAAAACCATCCACCCCAGCAATCGATATGGGACACCTCAGGAAATCACCGCTTACTGTGCGCAGCCAGATGGTGCAAAGCACAGTCATTGGGCGCCTGGCGTGTTCACAAGAATCTTTGCCGCTTCATGTGTTGCGCTTGCATTACAATGGGGAACAGTCGGAGGGGCAGTGATCTTGGCATATTTCACTCCTACGACAGTGCGTTTCTTTTGGTATACATATATTTTGGCGAGATGGCTAACTTTAAGCAGGGCATTGGGTGTCGATCTCTGAGTTACCTCGTTTACGCGGGCCTATCAACCTTAGTTTGGATGCTGCTCCTGATGTCCAGTATTCTCGCCCACTACTCTGCAGCTTATTCCCGCCGAGCGTCACTGTCTGCACGTGCTGCTCTGGCATTATCGCACTGCCTGAGAAGAATGGGCAGACTGTTGGCCATTGCAAACTCTATCTGGGTGGTCACGGCATGTATCTTTCAGTATTCCAGCTTCTACGATACATGCTTCTGCAAATCCAGCGTGATTGGTAGGGGAAAGGCTGCATACACTGTGATCATCGAAAGCACAGCCCAAGCCGCACAGGTTAAGGCTGCCTGGATCGGCTCCATTGTCCTGGCATCTGGCTCGGCGTTAATTTTCATTGGACTCGTGAATCTTCTATTGGATACTCTTTGATAACTTCTGTCAGAAAGACGGTTGTACATTGTATCATACTTATGTTTATTATGCAGTATATATATCGGTTTAGAAGCTATCCGATCCATGATCTTTGTGTCGTTCACTGGGCCGCACATAAGTCGCAGTTAGCTAGACACTTGGCCATAAGGTATTCAAATCTTTCGAGCGTCGTATATCGGTAATAACCTCGATGTCGAATCTCGAAGGCCTCTTTGTGTTGAACATCTCGCAATGGCCAGTTCGAATGAGCAACAACTGACGTATTTATGAAAAGTCCCCCCTGGCTAGACCATTGTCGTTCCTCCTAATAGCAACATCGGGGGTTTCAACATCAAAAGCAGATCTAGACAGCACTCCAGTCCTAGACTAGACCGAGAGCGTTCCGGAGCACTCTAGATTACCCTTCGAAACTGGCATGTCACTTTCCCCGCAGGTTCGTATACTGGCAGCCACGCTAAATGAAGTATGACAAGTTCTGGGAGCACAACGTCAGTTATCAACCACTGCTTCGGACACAAGTAGTGATATTCCAACTCCGCTCGGCAATTTAGTGTTACGAGCCCAGCCTTGACGCTCTGTGTCCTACAAAATGTTGAATCTCCGACTCGCCGAGTCAAAGCCGGTCCAACTATCCTCTATCATTTCTGCACCAATTTCGATGTCTAGTACTTATTGAGGCAGAATTATGTGTGTTTTGTCAAGTGTCCGAACCAGTGGTTGTCCGAACTTGTGATAGCCGATAGTAACAGCAAATGGGCTTAAGTACTCTAATACTTGGGACTTGCCAGTGCTGCTATATTCAAAGGAAGATAGTTGTTCCTTCGTTGATAGTGCTTTCCCCAATCAGTGACTCATTGGGTGAACCGAGTTTATTTGAGCCACGTGCCACGCTTGACTCTGGCCCTCGTGACTGTGTCGAGTGTAACAAGCGGGGGTTGTAATTATTATAAAAGTGACCTCGTCAGATACATCTCAGCATACCCTCATCCGCTGCATTATCCATACCCACGAGGCCCAGGCATGTCGTTTGCACGGTTACCTTCCACACCAATCCGTTTTGCTAGGCTTTCCGAGTCTGCATCTCGCTCGTCATGGCGGCCTACTGCCAGTGGGAGCCGGTACATGTCCCAAAATATCAATCGGGACTCTACGACTCTTCCACTTGATATTGAGGTATGGACAGTGATTTTGGTTTTTTTCTCTATCATTTTAACTATCCACGAAGCCCTCCCGGCTCATCGTCACAAAAACAACGAGCCCAAAGGAACTTCCTCCCTCTAAGAAACTTCTCTTCGGCCGGACATTCGTGAGTCATTTTCTCAGGTGCCTCATGTGTTATGCCTCATTGTGATCCCAGTCAGATCACATGCTGAGAATCCGCTGGACTGAAGCTACTGGCTGGGAAGCACCCAGCATTGAGCCTTGTGAGTCCTCCGCTTTCGGCATAGCTTTTACCGATATGTTTCTCTTATATCCTAGTCGCCACCATCAATCTATCCCCTGGCGCTACCGTACTTCATTATGCTCAATCACTATTCGAGGGCATGAAGGCCTACAGACATGATGATGGCACCGTGACGATGTTCCGACCTGACATGAATATGAAACGTATGAACGTCAGCGCACAGCGGCTAGCGCTTCCCGTACGCTCTATCATTCTCCTCTGAACAGATCTTCATACCTCTTTTCCGCAGGCATTCGATGGAAACGGCCTAATTCAATGCATAAAGGAGTTGATATCTCTTGATCGTCAATGGATACCTAAGGAGCCCGGACACAGTCTTTACATCCGACCTACCTTAAGTGGGTATTTAACCCTCGCTGCAGACACAAATACTGAGAACGATGACGCTGTAGTCGGCACTAACGGCACGTTGGGTGTTGCGCCCCCCAGCGAGGCACTACTTTTTGTGATCACCAGCCCTGTGGGACCATACTACCCTCATGGGTTCAAGCCTGTGGCATTACATGGCACGACAGACTCGGAGTACATTCGCGCGGCTCCTGGAGGTACGTCTTGATATTCGCTCGCCCATCGGATATTGTAATCGCTTTGCCTAAAGGTACCGGTGCTTATAAACTTGCCGCGAACTACGCTCCAGGCGTTGTAGCACAAAAAAGTGCAGCGAAACAGGGCTACGCGCAGAACTTGTGGTTACATGGTCCCGAGCACTGGCTCACAGAGGTGGGCACCATGAACTTGTTCGCCGTTATCAAGGACAAGGACGGCAGTAAGCATTCACCTCAGCGGTATCTTAGTCGCATGCTGAATTTATTTCCCTCACAGTAAGCGAACTCATCACGCCCCCTCTCGACGGAATGATTCTCCCAGGTGTTACCCGCGACTCTGTGTTAGCCCTTGCGCGCAACCACGTCTCGGGAGTTAAGCGTCTCGAAGGTCTTCCTGACGTCATCAAGGTCTCAGAACGCCCCATTAATATGGGCGAGATCATCCAATCCTCAAAGGAGGGTCGACTTGTTGAGTTATTTGGTACCGGCACGGCTGCTGTTGTCACTCCTGTGGACAGAATTGGGTACAACGGAGGTGATGTCATGATTCCTACTGGTGAGGACGGTATGGGTCCCCTCTCGAGGCCTCTTTGGAAACAGCTGGTGGGTATCCAGACGGGGGCTATCAAGAGCGACTGGAACTACGTGGTGGCGCAGTAGTTCGGATTCCATTCATCTACAAACAGGGTATCTATCTGTGCTTTTGACTAGAATCTAGAGTTCATATCTCTCGTGGTGATCATAAGATGGCAGAATCAGTTAGTTGCAACGCTGAAGGTTACTATGATATATCTTATGGGCCAGCCTCTGACTTTCCTTGTATAGGTCCTTCTAGGTTCTTGTTGTCATTAGTACGTCTTAGCGGAACTAGAAGAACGTCTTCCTAGACCTATCGTTCTTGGCTGTCATTAGTACGTCTTAACAGACCGCTAGAAGAACGTCTTCCCGCAATTACTTTTTGACTGTGCCCACTGCCAACGCAATCGAGGGCATCGGCCAGGCTGATAAGCCTTTATCTTCCTCCAACGCTGTCAGTGGAAGCACACCAACGCATCATTGCTGAGTCTGTATCGTAACCAGAATTCATGCTCCACAAGTTTCGATGACCTGAATGACAGGGCTTTACGCACGGATCATCATGCTCGCGGTACACATTGATTGACCTGATCAGACAATGCAGAGAGCGCGCTAGTTGCGTTCTTGATGCGCACCTCGGATGTAGGTGCCGTATGGGGCTGGTGGTTGACCAGGCGGGTATAGCTTGTGACGCAGGTTGTTCCTGGTCGTGCACGCCGTAACAGTCGGGTAAATTAGCTCCTATTATTGAAAGATAAGGTGCTGTTGTTGGCGTCATCTTGGGTACTATGCACGAGTGACCTCTGGAATGAGGAGTTCCCGAAGAAATGATATCATGCAGGATTGTGTAACCTTACCGTCTCTTTGCATGTAGAGCATTGAATGCGTACTCGTTCAGGAGTCCAATCAGTGAACAAACTTGTTTTGGATATCGAATGATGACGGGTTAAAGCAATGATTGCATGCATTGGAGCACCAATTCAATGTGACTTTTAAGCGTCTTGATGAAGATCGTACGGGCCTAGCTATCGACCAGCAGTGATGGATTATTTGCCACTGGCCCGGGTGGATGGCCGGAGCATTTATGTCAGAGTTCATCGACTGACGCTGACTAAGAGGGCGCGGCCTTACAGCTTAGTCATAAGAAAGGGCAAACTAATCATCATCCCTGGCAGTTGCCTCAAGCAGAGCATCCACCTGAGCATTTACTTGCATCGGTCTGGTCGTCCATTATATTTCTTCCATCCGTAATTTTTTTGCATCCTTGATAACCCAAGATACTCAGGCTGGTTGTCTAACTCCTCTAAACACCCTTTTTCTCTGGTAAAAATGCTTTACGACCCGACCACTGCAACCCACCTAAAGCCCTGGTTGGTTCGAACTCTGGAGCCAATGTGCGTATTACCGGACACTCGGTCATCATCATCTCTGACACTGGTTGGCATACATAGATGTGACGCGGAGCCTGGGGCGCTTTCTGAATACATTCTCGCTTTACTGAAGCACAATGTCCCGGAAAACGAGATGAGGAAGGAGCTCAGCTCCCAGCTGGAAGAGTTTTTAGAGAAAGGTGCGCGTTATCTCGGTGCAATCTATGCGTCACGTTCTCAATTCGGCGCCCAGAGGGACCCTCATTTATAGATACATTATTCACTGTTCTCAGAACCAAGTCGTATCTCCCTTACACGGCCGGCGACCCAACAAGTTCTTTCTCGTTGCCCTCACATCCTCTGTCCGCAGACACTGGGATTCCTATACCTCTGGATGCTCTCCTATCCAATCATTCACCGACGGACAGAGGGCAGAAACGATCGCTGGAACACGATGAACGTGACGGGCGCCCGCCCACGAAAGGTGCTCGGTTGAGTGCAGAAGGTCAATTTTCACGGTATTCCAACGGTCGTGACTCTCGCTCTACCGGTGCATGGAGTGGTGGCCAAAATAGGGCTGGGGGCCAAGGAATGATGATGAATGGAACAGTGGGTAGCGGTCTGAATGGGGGCAATCAAAATGTGAACACCCGACGACCGCAAAATTATCAGCCCCCAGACCAGAGAAAAGGGATATGTCGTGATTATCATAGTGCGCATGCTTTTCGTAACGATTGAAGAAAGTGCTCACGTATCCTTACAGATAATGGATATTGTGCTCGTGGTGCACTATGCAAGTATAGTCACGGCGATGATGCTTTCGTCCCATCACAGATGTTTTCTATGAATGGCGCTGTACCATTCTTACCAATGTTTGGCGGAATACCTTTCGGCATGGGTCAAGGTGCCCCCTATGACCCACATGAAGCACGCATGGATATGCGCCCGAATGGCGCCGGCATCGGCATGGGTCGTGGAACGCAACGTGCACCTCTACTCCCCAGAAATCCGCAAGAGGACGGCAGTCAAGTTCCTCACGCGGCAGACAGGTCTGGTGAACTGCCGGTCATACAGGACCTAACTCCTCAGCCGCCTCCAGACTCTGTACCGCCGACTGCATTGGCTGGAGATCGCATTCCGCAGAGTTCCACACCTATGCAGCAGCAACCAATTCAACCCATGGACGTGGAGATGGGTGTTCCAAGTGTACCTGGACCCTCGACGTACAACACACGTGGCGGGTTTGGAGGGGGGATGAGGGGTGCACCTCGTGGGCGAGGGGTTTTTGGTGGTGACGCGCAGACTTTCCGTCCAGAACGACGGCAAGATAAAACACTCGTGGTGGAAAAGATTCCAGAGGACAAGCTTAGCCTTGACGCTGTCAATGGTTGGTTCAAGCGTTTCGGGACAGTCACCAACGTTGCAATCGATGCTCGCAGCGCCAAGGCACTCGTGAGTTTTTCTGAACACACTGAGGCTCATGCTGCATGGAAGTCGGAGGATGCTGTGTTTGGGAATCGGTTTGTAAAGGTCTTTTGGCATCGGCCTATGGACGGACATGGGCAAACAGGATCACGAATGCTAGCGGCCTCCGCGCCACTATTGGCCAACCTGGCTGCGCGTGACACCCCCATGCCTTCTGCACCATCCCAGCCTCCTGTGCCGCCCGCCGCGACTCCTGTCCGTAAACAGCCCCTTCCGTCTACCGCCGTCTCAGAGCTAGCAGCGAAGCAGAAGCTACTGGAGCAACAGATCGCGGAACAGAAGTCGTTAATGACCTCATTAGAGACCGCTTCTGCCGAGGAGAAGAAAGGGATCCTAGCAAGATTGCGGAAGTTGGGAGAAGAGATGACGATTGTGTCAGTACCGCCACCGTCGGCTACCATCGCCAAGGTTCATTCACCTGCACCTGTCTTGACTACTGAGAACGATCACGAGAAGAAGGAGAGAGAACGGTTGGATAAGGAGCTTGAGTTGCATGCCGTTGGGGAGTCTACGGAGGATCTTAAGGCTAAACTCGCCAAACTGAGGGAAGAAGCAGCAAGTCTTGGGATACCGGAGACAAATGCTGAAGTCTCGTATGGCGCGCCGTATCGTGGATACAGAGGTCGCGGTCGTGGCGCACGTGGCGCGTTCTTCCGCGGAGCACCGCGAGGTGGTCCTCCTAGGGCAAGCATGAAACTTGATAACCGTCCAAGGAAGCTGTTGGTGAAGGGTGTTCGTGAAGACAGTCTGCAGGCATTGCGAGATTGGTATGAAGTACGTCGAGATTGTTCATTTTCAAATGTGTCCATCGACTCATCGACAATTACAGACCACCGGTCAACTCGAATCAACAGAGATCATTGGCGATGATGAAGTTCTCGTCAGTTTCAAGACGAGAGCAGCTGCCGAGCAGGTTGGTCAAAAAATGACCTATTGTATTAATATGCGCTTACTCTTTGTCCAGGGTTTTGCCAAAGGACCCACCGTAGCCGCAGTAGGCCCAGTGAAAATTTCATGGCACAGCGCCCAGCAATCACAAACAAAACCACAAGGCGTCACCGCCCCTCCATTACAATCCGCCCCCACAAAAGACGTACATCCAGATGATACGCGGAGTACTTCGCCGCCTCCAGGACGCCGTCCCTCCCCTCGTCCACAAGAAGAAGAAGTCATTGCCAGTGGATGGGGTGACGGTGATGAAGATGGTATGGGTATGTTTTGATCGTACAGATTTTACGATGCTTGGAATTGTCTTTGTATTGTACTCGGTGCCGGTATATTTTAATCCTGCTGGCGGCTCGACAAATCTTCCTGGAATCTCAAAGTTCACTGAGTTCTAAGTTACACACTGATTATCACTCGATTTTTGCCTGCCCATCAGTCAATCATGAATATTGAATCGTGGTCTAATTTTTTGAGGAAGTGCGACAGTGGTCCGTTTCCGCTTCCTCAAAACTGCCGCACTTTCGAACATGCTATGGTCCAGCTAGCTGATCACATACTTTTCATTGCGCATTCCACTCTACAACAGGTTCCCGCACACCTATTTAACACCGTCCCCCTGAATTCAACTTGATATCATCTGAATTCTTCGATTCGTTACAATACTATACTATGTACCATATTTTTCTTGCCACAAAGCGTTTGCGATTGTCATCACAAAGGTACTACAAAGGTTTCTACAGCTGTAAGTACTTGACTTATAGGTACCATGAATGAATCATTGAATATCGAATACTATATTTGACCTCTGCTCGCCCGACCGCGTCTGAATGCACGTGATGTCTTTGCTCTCAAAACAGAACCTTTGACGCCACTGTTGTTCCAAATATAGAAGGCAACCCCCGCGGTGTGCACCTCTTTCTGGAAAATCGACCCCTTTACATGTCCCATTTTAATACTCCGGGTCTTCGTTGGGTCATGTGACTGTCGCGTAATTCATGGAATGAATAAACTATCACCGTCCATTTCGCGTTCTGGTCGTTTGTCTCTTTCCTATTCTTCCTATCCTCGCAATGAGCTCGTCTGATTATGGATTTGACGATGAACTTGACTCAACTATCTTGAACGAATGGGACACCATCGAGGCCGCTCATCGCCCTCCGCTTCGAAGCCCTCCTAAGCCTAAGCCACCCCCGCCTGCGGCCAAGGTGCCCAAACCCCTGGACGAAGAGGATTCGTTCTTCGATCTTTCTCTTGAGATTGATGATGCAGAGCTTCAGCGTCTAGACACGTTCATCGATGCAGTGTACAAGGGAAATGCAAAACCAGTGGCTGGCCCAAGCAATCATGCGCGGCCTTCTTCCAAGAATACTGTGCAAAGAACCCTATTCGGAGATGTCGCGAAACCGACAGCGTCCTCGAGTACGCAAAGTCCCACCAAACGTTCTTCGCACCAGCGGGCGAAGTCGAGTCCCCGCAAACCTTTTGGCCGGCAAGCACCTCAGACGAAGCAATGGGATCATACAGTGTTTGCAAAGTCAGGCTGGAAAAAGCCAAAGACCGTCAAAGGTAAGGGAAGAAGTGATGGAGACGAGGACGATGAGGAGCATGTAGAATTTGAGCAGTTCCCTGCTCCATTCGTGTCAAGTATGTCGTTTGGTTCGTTTTAACTTTTGGAAAAGTTCTGATATGCATCTTTAGTTGGGTGAGCGTGTTCCTTGAATATTGTCGTACAACTCTTACACCACACAAAATGCTTCACTTAAATTTCCTCAGACCTGTGTGTATTTTGTCATGGCTCGTACACCGTTTACTGACTTCCTACAGCCACCTTCTATGAAACTCAAGGTCGACATGCTCGAAGCTAAACACTGGATCTATCCTCTAAACCAACCAAAGCGTGACTATCAATTCAACATCGTCAGACACTGCTTATTTGACAACACTCTCGTTGCATTGCCCACCGGATTGGGGAAAACATTCATCGCAGGCGTCGTAATGCTTAACTGTAGGTCCCAAGGTTTTTTTTTGTATAAAGAATCTTATTTCTTCCAGTTTATCGCTGGTTTCCGAAGGGGAAAGTTGTGTTCGTCGCCCCAACAAAACCTCTGGTCGCGCAACAAATCGACGCGTGCCACCGCACATGCGGCATTCCTGGTTGTGATGCAGTCGAACTTACCGGAAACAACCCTCGAATGTATAGGTCCAGGATGGTTTGTATTAGATAAACACGGTCGATGTTCAGGCTGACTCGGATTTTTGTAGTGGGAAGACAAGCGAGTCTTTTACATGACCCCTCAGACCCTCATCAATGATCTGACTACGGAAAACTGCGATGCACGGGATATCGTTCTTATGGTTATTGGTCTGTTACCTGCATTTAATTACGTTAATTTGATATGCTAAGGGAAACGTGCAGACGAGGCACATAAGGGAACAGGAGATTATGCATATGCACAGGTCATTCGTTTTTTGATGGCCAAGAATCCCCATCATCGCGTGCTGGCATTAACAGCCACGCCCGGAAGCACACCTGAAGCTATTCAGAGCATCGTTGATTCGCTGCATATTAGTCGCATCGAGATTCGTGATGAAAATAGTATTGATCTTCGTGAGTATATGCACAAGAAGGTCAGGGTCAAATGTGCGTTTCGAGTTACACGGCTGACGCGAGGACATCGACATCTGATATCTAGGAAATCAAACAGCACATCATCAAGATGACTGACGATGTTCTGAAAGCTCAGGAACTGCTGAAGGAAGTGATGATAGTCAGTTATCCTTCCTGTTGGTTACTCCTATTTGACGAGGGCGTATCAATAGACTATTCTTAAACCACTCTCTAGCAGAGGGGTTATTGAAGTTGTGGATCCAGTCAAGATGCATCCTTATCGTGCCCAGGCTACCATGCAACGCATCGGGGCCCAACGGAACAGTCCTCACAAATGGGCATTCTCATCATTGTCCAAGCTCGCAGCATTGGCGCGTGCTATGGGGTACCTGGCGAGTACTGCTTACGGCGTATGTCTGTTTCACCTAACAAGACGTGCGCACGGTTAGATGGAAGCCAGCATCGGCATGTGTCACAACTGCCTACTGGAAATCTCCGCTGAAAAGGAGGATGATTCCGGGAAGAAGAAGGGTTCCACAACGAGTGGCTTGCGTAAGGACAAGAATTTTATGGCTCTTCTTAGTGAGCTCGAGGTGCAGAAAGTCCGTCCGGGTGGATATGGCATGCACCCAAAGATGGAGACGCTGAAGATGCTACTGTTGCAGTACTTCGGGGCACGAATGGGTGAGGGGGAGGAGACGAGAGCTATGGTGTTTGTGACATACCGGGAGTGTGTGGATGAGATCGTACATATTCTTGATGAGGAGAGTCCCCTCCTGAAGGTGACGAGGTTCATTGGGCAGGGCACAGATAAACAAGGCCGGAAGGGGTTTGCGCAGAAGGAGCAGCTTGAGGTGAGTTCAGGCTTCGTCCCTGGATGCGTGCATATAGAATTGTCGAAATAGGTCCTCAAGAAGTTCAAGGCTGGTGAATTCAACGTGCTTGTCTCTACTTCTATTGGCGAAGAGGGTCTCGACATTGGCGAGGTTGACATGATTGTGTGTTATGACGCACAAAAGACGCCAATTCGCATGGTGTGTGCCATTCAAATCATCCCTGTTTACATGTGTATAACCGTTCTTCTGTCGTAATGTGCAGCTTCAACGCGTCGGACGCACGGGCCGTAAACGGGACGGCTATGTCCACGTCCTCCTCTCCGAGATCCGCGAGGAGCTAAATTGGGACAAAGCAAAGGACACATACGGCGAGTTGCAAAAATGTATTGTCCGCGGTGATCAGCTTGAACTTTATGGCGACGTCCCACGACTCCTCCCTGAGCATGCGAAGCCCCAAGTGCTCGAGAAGAGAATGGAGATTGAGGAGTACGTACGTCAAGAACATGCTTCGCGAAAGAAGAGTGCAGTTGTCAACGACGATGATTCGTCTCCGAAGGGCAAGAAACGCAAGCGGAATGATGATTTTGCTAGGAATATACCTCAAGGCGCAAGCGCGGGCTTTGTTAGCGTCAAAGACCTGCTTATCAAAGGCGCAGACACGAAGACTAGGAAGAAGGCAAAGACGAAAGTGTTTGACCCCACAGCTGCAGAAGACGACTCGACAGACATGGAATTAGAGGCTAATCTCATGGATATGCGCCGTACTGCCTCGACGCCTGCTGATCCCAGCACAAAGAAGAAGAACAAATTGCGCACGACACGTACGATGGATCCATCCAAGAAACGACAACCAGCAACGTCACGCAGGAAGGGGAAGGAAAAGGAAAAGGAACCACTGACCACCAGCCAATTCTCGCGAAAAGGCGATGACGATGACGATGATATCGAAATCGAGCAGGGCATTTCATTAACTGCTCGCGAGGCCATCGCTCGTAAAACCCCTTCCCCTAAGAAAAAGCGCCCAGTTTTGCCCCGATATCGCTCGTCTTCACCTGATGCTCCAGTTTTGGTTCGGGATTGTTCCAACAGTCCCCTAAAACCATCTGCAACCCAAAGTCTTTCCTGTCATCTGATCGAAGACGATGCACTACTTTTAAGTTCCTCAGAGGCGGAGAATCCTTCAGCGCCAAGCATTTTATCTTCGTCACCGATGATATACGATGTGGATGACGTGATAGAGTTATCATCCTCCCAGCCGACACCCCAAACGGACCCTGAAGCCGCAGACTCTTCATCGATGTCGTGTGGTCCCAGAAACTGTCCGATCAATAAGCGCTATAGACGGAATGGGAGAAGTCCAGAAGGATTTCCGGATCGCTCGCCATCATTACCTCCATCTTCAGACGGCGGGACGGGTAATACGCAAAGCATGGCGTGGCTACTAGGATCAGACGAGGAACCTGACATCCAAATTATGTCTTCTCCGCCCATCGCGCCGCAGCAGGAGCGCCGCCCTCGCGTAGATGGCTTATTTGACGATGAAAGTGTTGTAGACGGAAGACATCTCTCGCCTGGGGCACTTCTAATGCCGCCACCTCCTCTACCATGCCGAGGTACCATTCAGTCGCCCGCGCACTCTTCTGATCATGACATTCCCGATGCCTCATTCGCTGTGCGGCCTGCTGGACGTTTTTCTAAGTCGCGTGCAGTAGCTGCAGAGCCTAACTCGCCTGCATTGGATATGCCACCTCTTTCCCAGCGGCGTTTGAAACGAAAGGATACGGATATCGTTTCTTGGGAATCAAGTCCGGCCCCTAAGCGTAGCAAGCGAAAGTCATTTGTACCTTTGCGCCATAACCCGTGGTTGGACGGAGAAGCCGCCCACTCTGGTGACGAAGCAAGTGAAGGATCGTCGCACTCGGAAGATGATGTTGAAAGCGATTCCGATCGCCAATTCATCAAGGACATCGCAAACACTCAGATTTCTCCTTCTTACGACCAGTCACTCGCTTATCAACGAGGGTTGCTCACACAAGCCCTGCCGGGAGGTCCCGCATTCGTCAACAGACCGGTGAGGAGGGGAATATACGCCAGAGGTGAGAGCGCAAAACGCCGGGCTGGTGTGTCAAGTTCTCCTGTACGTGAGGACGATTTGGCAGACGAGTATGCCATCGGCAGCTTTGTCGTAGATGATGATGAGGACATTATCTGATCGAAGGATATTAAACATGCATGATTATCCTATGTATGTCGGTTTTGCAGTCTTTGAGTCTGATACATTACTGTTATTACATGCGGCTATTAGTATCAGTAACGTACGTTTTGGATCTTAGACTGTCGGCTACAAGTCAGTTAGGTTGCTCATTCTATAGAACCGCCTGTGTGCACCTAAATTCGCGGAGTGTTGGTATAGCGATGGTGACCTTTGCTTGATGGACGCGAGGTTCAATCTAGAACGAACGACTCTAGAGTTGAGCTTGTCAGATAAATCTCCGAGTTGTTCTTTGTGCAGCTAACTCAAATCGAATGTGTAATGCTTTCAGGATGCAGTTTAAGAGGCGTAGCTCACACCTAAAGCTTAAATCCTGAGAATTGATTGAGCTGGACCATGACCAGTACGGGAAGAATGGAATGCGGGCGTCGGCGGGGCCACAGAATGTCACATACTTTGGCGGCCTTGTCACAGTCACATCACACCGTAACGCCTTTCCTCATCGTCATTCACGACGTTGGCCCACTGGGCCACTATCCGATTTCTCCCTAGCGATAACCGATATCGGGTGGATTTTACGATCTCACACACCGCCTGATCAGGTGGCACCCACTTGGAAGGGAGTCTTATAGACTCTTACCATCTCCACTATCTAGGATTCTTAATTCTCTCTGATCATGGATGAGCTCGTGCATCATTGTCTCCGAGAGCTTTCATTCGATGGCGATCTTGGTACGTCAGCGTGTACTATTCTCCTCGTTTGTATCTGTCCTCGGCGTTTTTTTTGGAGTACTCATCGTGAAGAGGATCGTTCGAATCCCCTTCGTGACAACTCCTGAATTTCTCGATTTTCTCCAACAGCATCTGATTTTTGTTATTTGCTGCCATTCCTGCAGGTTGTAACGTTTCCCGCTTGCGAGATTTCATCGTAGGATTCCACAGTCACGACGCTACCCACCCGCAGGTCGTCGACGATGCCTTTTGCGCGTTTGTGTGGTCTATAGTCGTCCAGCAGCCCACTGTCCGCGTTGGTACGGTTCCTGCGGGCATATCATCCGAAGTGTACATCGCTCCTCAGACGAGCGCAAAGCGTAAGGCGGCAGCTAAGGGCGAGGTACTTGTTGAAGAAGCCCCGCCGTCACTCGCTCTCGTTGAGAATGCACGCGAGAAGTCATTAGAGGACCTAAAGGCAGAATATGGCGAAGATATCAGAATTGCTGTTGATCCAGAGACGTCTTTTGCTGCAATCACAGGATCTCATATTAGAGTATGCGACAATTGCCATTTAATTTAATCTGAGCTCATTCTTTCGCAGTCTTCGAAACTCAGCCCAATGGTTTACAGTGCTTTGCAACTCATCACAAGGGGTCGCGAAGAAGGTATTACAACCGTCGAACTCGGACGTAAGACAAAGTACGATCAGAAAACGTGCTTTTATGTCATCAAACAACTGCTGGAGCTTGGCTTAATGTATGTGTAGGTCTTTCTCTCTACGAAGCACGTAACGATGTAAGGACAGCATCAAAGCACGGCGAGGAGGTGTTGGTAATCACTCCTGCATTCACAGATATTTTGTGGAGCGCAGCGCGTTCTGGCAACAGATTCAGCAAGAGGAAGCCAAAGATGACGAGCCGATGGTTATTGGGGAGAGTCATCCGCAAGACGCGACCTCAATTGAAGATGGGACTCCCTCTGCAGCACCATCAGAACTCGACTTTGGGCCTGTGGATTCCAGACATTTGTCTAGTCTTCCACTCATCAAAAACCGAATTGTCAAGTTGCTGAGGGCCTCGCAAAACAATATTCACGCGTCAAATAACTTAATTATCACCATCGTAGGTCATGCTCGGTTATGGTGTAGGGCTTTGGCTGAATCCCTGCAGGGCTTTACGAATCCCACCAAGACAGACCGTCGCTTCTTTCAAACCCGTCTTCGAGAGTTGATAACGCAAGGAGTGATAGAGCGTGTATTGGTCCCGAGCTCCAAAGTTAAAGATAGGCTTGTCAAGTGCATACGACTTGTTGCTCCAGACAATCAACTCCCAGAGGGCGGCATCGTTCTTGCCTCTCAGGAAGGGGAGGACGACGAGAAGGAAATCGCATTTGATGATACCTCCGGTGCGATACATCATTTATCTGTAGACCGTTCTAACTAGCCTCTCAGCTGGTCACACTGAAGTTAAGGCAAACCGCACAATCCAAAAACAAGTGTCAGATCTGCTTGAAGAAGCAGGGTCTTCCGGCAGAACTCTCCACGTAAGTTTCCTTTGGCGTGCCAGGGCAACGTTTTGACTCTGTTTACAGGAAATTTGTAACGCTCTTGGCAATTTCGATAAACGCACTATTGAGCTTCTGTTGACACGAGCAGTCAAGAGTCAACCTCCCGCCCACCTCAGCGATCTCGGGACAGCGGACTTCATGGAGTCTTTTGGGCGGGAAAGACGTCATCGATACTATACTCTCGCGGCATATACAGCAGTCATGGCTAGCGAAAAGCTCGAAGATACAACAACGCCATATGTCGACATTGATCTATCAAAAGCCGGCGATTTTGCCGTGTTTCACGAGGCGATGTTTTACGATGACGATGAAGCTCTTCATCATTACGAAGACACATTCAAGGACAAGGAGGGCGCCAAAATGAAGACGGGAGGAAAGAAGCGTAAAAGGCCAGAAACTGAGAATCCGGGAGATGACGAAGCTGTTGAAGATGCGCCAGAACCTGCCCCAAAGGCCAAAAAGGGTCGCCCACAGAAAAAGCCGCGTGCTGAGGAGGACGGTGACATTTCTACTCCTCCGAAAAAGCGTGGTCGACCTCGCAAAAACCCGGTTGCTGAGGAGAGTGATGGGACCTCAGCGGCACCTAAGGCTCCCAAAAGGCGGGGTCGTCCACTCAAACAGAAGGCCGATGCTGAACAAGCCGACCCCCATGCCGAAGTTCCAAGAGGTAAATCGATGGAAGGTGTCAACGACATTGTTCTTACCCCACAAGTCCCGTCAGCGCCTCCACCAGAGACTAGTAGACACCCTCCACAGCAAATATTGGACAGTGCAAGAGTCAAAGAATTGTCCGTCGTGGATAACCGCCCTTCCGCACAAGAAGTCATTATTATCGATCCTGTGTTGCTGGGGACGTCCTCGGTAAGTAAATCTCAGGTTCGATTTTGCATCACTCGATTAACGTGACGGTTGATGGAGGCGGACATAACGTTAGCTGGGATGGGGGAGAAGCGGAAGGGATCCCCACCACTAGCAACACCTTCCCAAACCAAGCGCACCCGATTATCTACGCCTGGTGACAAGCTGAAAACAAATCCGAACATATCTCATTTACGCCGCGAGAACGAATTTTTCCGGGTAATTCAAGATCTTGGCGGCATTGCAAATCTGCACACAAAACATTTTTTTGATGCTCACATCGCTCTGTTGAACGATATGGCTCAGCGTGGAGAACCCGCAAGTGCGCCCCTAGGAACTCGTATCGACAAGAGAACTGCAGACGCTACCATAAAGAACATGGAAAGTCGCGGCCGCGTCAAAACCCTCAAAACCACTGTTTTCGCTGTCACCGGAAGCACTCGACCTGCCTGCCTCGTTTATCTCCCAGACACACCTCAAGAGAAAATTAACACGTTTTTGCATCATTTGAGCCACAACACCCCGACTCCTAGTGTTCCCCCAGTTAAGACATTCGAGGAGCCTGTGGATTTTGGAGCTTCGAGCAACGTTTCGCAGCGCACCACTCTACCGCTTCATCTGCTGCAAATAGAGAAACCCGGGAAGGATGATGATGAACATCAGGTTCTTGACGCTGCCAAGGTGGAGGAGCTTTTCTCATTCGACTCTGAAACGATCCGCGATGTGCTCCTTACAGAGAGGACCACGGTAGCACAGTTGTATGGTTTCAGAGTCGGGAAAGCGGCTCGGTTGCGGGACTTTCACGTCTTTACCCTTGGGTTGCTCGAACAACACTCTTCACCTCGCATTGTGTCCCACGAGCATTCCATGATCGACATTTCCTTGTACCAGCTTGACGTTCCCATTGCTATATATTGCTCATTCGTTGCCGTTCTCAGCTATGACGAAGAGCTATCAAAGCTCGTGACCTCCGTGGAGGGTAGAGAAACACTACTCAGAGACCTGCCGAACCGTATATCAGCAAAACTGCAGGTGGGGAAGTCGCGTTCCAAATCTCGCGTTTTGGAACTCTTAGATACCCTTCGGCTTCTCGGCCTTGTGACTCCTTACGAACTCTCCACGGATGACAACGCAGATTTCACATGTACCCTCTCTGATGGCCGGACAGTTGCATTCAAGGCAGCCTCTTTCGACGGTTGGCGGGTATCCGCACCATCTGCCGCGCCCCAATACTGGCGTTTCAATGAAACGGCACCCTTACATCTATGGGTTCTTTCTGATTCTTCCCCTTCTTACTGGAAGCATGTCTCTGTGGCATCTCGCTGCGATGGTGTAGCTTTTTGGGACGAGCTGCATAAAGTCAGCCGAGACCTTGCTTACGCACGAAGCACTGTTTGTCCAACGCACGGCACTTTAGGACCTCCAACAAACACATCCCTTGTGCGATTCCTCCGCCGGAGAGTGTCTTGGGACTTGGAATACCACCTAACTTGGCACCAGAAGCGTTATCTAGACCAATCCGTAGACAGCGCCACGGCCCGCAGTCCGCTTGACGAAGAGGATAGTGACTCACGGCTACAACTGATTTGCCATGTTCTTAGCGCTCCACGTGCTCCTGTTGTCGCCTACCTCAAAGAAGCTGCTGAAAAGGTTTTGCGTGAGATGAAGAAAGCACGGGCGAGGCAGAAACGAGACGAGGCGGAACATTGCGCAACGCAAAATTTCGAAGCCAAGACTATGCTTCAAAAGAAGGTCGAAGAAGCCAAGCTTCAGAGGGAAAGCGATTGGGAAGCTCTGCTTCAGCGCGTGCATCCTGGGCCTCTTAAAGGCACCATTGGCATCCGGATTCGAGCTGTTCGCAATCGCTTTATGCAATCCAGCTCGATCAGAGATACAGACCGATGGCAAAGTGAGATTGAAAACGCCGTTTGGGAGGCTCGACTGGCTTCAAACAAGGTTATTGCAAGGCCGAAGGCACTTGCGGTTCCGCGCCCCATAGCTTTACCACCTGTCGCAGCCAATCCTCCTGAGAAATCGGTGCATTTTCTCATAGCTCAGCAAGGTCCACCTATTCTCGTGCAACAAATCGGCAAATCGAAAGGAAAAACCAAGACCAAGGGAGATCACGAAGGCTAGTTTTGTCCGTTTACCTTTTGTTGCGCATATAGACATAGCCACCCTTCATAGACCAATCAGAGAACAAGACACCACACCAGAGGCGCTCCAGATTCCACTGGACTCGAGAATACGACGAACTCGCCCGTGATGCATCTGCTATAATTCGTGCTCGATGTCGCGGTGGGGTCAAGATCGATCTTTCAGCCTTTGACCAGGTGTTTCCCGCCGTGCCACGTAACTCTGTCCGCCTCCGCCTATCACATCTCCGAGAGAATACTGGTGAAGAGGTGTACATGAAGCGTCTCGAGGACCGATGGCATGACCTTTGGGCTCAGCATAGGGGTACCGAGCACCTTCCCGACGAAGATCCTCAAAGCCCGTCGAACTTTGACATCGTAAATCACATAGAGTTTCTTCGGAAGCATGTTGATAAGAACGCCTTGTGAGTTCACTCCAAAGCGTTAATTCATGGAGATGCTGACCGCAGTTAGGAGGGTTGGTTATGTCGAGCATACAACTCGGACGAAACTACCACCATCAGTGGATGAAATCATACATCATTTTGATGTGCTTTGCAACACAACAATTTCTCCCGCTTGGGATTTTGTGTGGCAAGCAACCGTCGAAGAAGGTCGAGAGAAACAGTTTCTCCGGCAGTCTTTCACTCATGGACCAGACGAAGTTCCATTTGTCACAAACACGAGTGACGATGTAGTTCAAGTCGCGGAAGCTGCGCTGAAGGTGGTGGTTGTTCGCTTGACCTGTCCGCTTGCTTCTCACTACCTTTTTACCGTTCTACAGATGGTTTTTGGCATGCCTACCGAGCATTACGACGCTGACCTGGCAGCGCAAATGCTCCACAGTGCAGGTGATCAGTCTGTATCCCTTGCGACCTCCAACCTTTTGCGGCGTGGAGTCTTGTCAAGGGTGGTTCGTGATCCCAAAAAGATGAAGCCGGGACGTACATTGAAAATATCAGACGTGTGCGCAAAGTCATTAATTGACAATTCTACTGATTGACACGATTGTAGCAACCTAAACGCCATCGGAGGCTCCATACACAGAGACTTATTTCAAGACGCTGTCGCTTTGGATGAGGTATTTGCAGAACAAGTCGACAGTCTGGAATGGCCTTTGTTAGCTTCTGATGGTGACACCGCAGCACTACTCCAGCTGGTGTCAGAGGAGCAGGTACGTTGATAACTAAGCTGTGTGGTGAAGTGTTGCGCCGACAAGAACGCGCAGGTCAATTTCATCATAGATACGGCACAGTCGCGAAACGCTCGAACAAGGCTTGACTGGAACAGCAAAAAAGCAGGTCTGTGCGGTGTCTCAGTTGCAGTTATTTCCCTCTCATAGAGATTAGATGACGACGATATCGAGGCTAGCATTCAAGTCCGCTTGAATGCACTTGACGGAGACGATAACGAGGGCAATGGAAGCGCGATATTGCCTTCATATGAGTCGCGCTCGGACCTTACGAACACTCCGCTGGACGAGAGCGTGCAGCATGGAAAAACGGTGACTGGAGCTGACGCTGCTTGTGCTGAGAAGACGCAATCGAGAATCGTAGATTGCGTGCTATGTACGGAGTCAACTTTTTCCGAGTTCGTCGCTCGTCTGGATGGCGAACAACAAAAAGTGGCTCGAACTATATTTGATCGAGCTAATGCGTCATTAGAATCTGGCTCATCAAAGTCGCACTACCTAGTATGTTTTCTATTTGGGTGTCATTCACCAACTGCTGACCCTCTTGTATCTTGAGGCTCTTGGTGCTGGCGATGTGGTTATGGACTTGTTACAACGAATGTCCCAAACATCCCCGCCCCTCATTCTGTGGGCAGGATACTCTGCGCCAATCATCGTTTCCTGCCTTCACGCTCGTCCTTGGACAGTGGAGATCATTAGGGAACCAAAAACTCTTGTCTTACCTCGACGTTGGGTAGATATCCGTGGTGGTACAATACGAGAGACCTGGAACGCCGCCCTGCACGCCGTTGTGGGCATTATTTTCTTTCATCCAGGAATTTCTCAGGTGAGTAATTTGACAACTTTATTCGGGTGCTTGATCTCAATCCAATAGACCGAGCTGCGATGGAGGCTTAGGGCAGTATGTGATCGACAGGAACTCGTAGACATCGTGTGCTTTTTGAACCGTGAAGAAGCCATCTACGCACGAGTTGGTGCAACACGTCCGACTGGCACTATCTGGCCGGCAACATTGGACGACGGGGAGGAACAGCAGGTCTTCTGGTTCATTGGCAAGAACAAGTATTGGTATCAAGTCTAAATCCACAGTCATGACGCCACGGGTACCATAAGTACCATGCTCACGTCAAAGATCACGAGTGTCATTGTGATATATGATTCATAGACATTCTACGGTATTTTTATTTGGATTACTCTCGCTACGTATTTAAAACCGTCCACGCACCGTAGTCTCGGTACCTGCGACTGTGTATAATCTATTCCTACTCGCCATGCACATTATATGAAGTCCCAACATTGGCAATCATGGCCTTCAGAGAGGTCAGTGATGTGTAAGAGTGTTGAAGTTTGGTTTTGATGTATAGTGCTCGGGGTACAATATATGTACTAGACGGTGGATAGGTCCTCAAATATATATCATGATATGTATTCAGATCCAATGGGGTATGATCAACAGAAATGCCGGTAATGTAGGGGAGGATAAGTTGACATATGCAATCAGCGCTAGGCATTTTTCAGGACTCTGACGGACGCGCACCAGGAGGTGCCTTCGATGTTCCAGAATGTTGAGAGGTGGGTCTGATGAAACGAATATCCGTCTTGCCCTCCGACTTTCCATTGGAAATGTGACTTCTGAGTGAGACGGCCGATATCGCATTGCTGATCAACAGTATATTAGCGAGAAATGACAAGAGGAAGAACATATACACCATACGATGAAAAACCCGAAAAAGTAATATGCAATTTGACGGGCGAGATCAGCTCTTGTGATGGGTACTTCGTTCGTCCCAATGTCAATAGGGTACTCCACTGTATCATATCCGGGCCACTGACACTGAACTCAGATTGTGCAATCGATCGAGGGTGCGAGGACTTACAGCGATGACGAACTTGAGGATCCGGACCTGAGTACGGTCGACCGTAGGGAACATGATCTCTTGGGCGTCTTTCAAACGCGGGCCACCGCCGGGCTGAAGACACTCCTCCAACGGAATGCTCAGACTATTCTTTTCTGTATTCGCCTGGAACATAACAGTTGAAGAACCGTCTCTGTTATAATGCGAAATGTTCATCGGGACAAACATCTCCACACTGTGAGAGGAACTACCAGACGACTGGGTGGAAGAATTTTGGTCCCCGTTAATTATAGCGACAAAAGAAAAAATATGCTGGTAAAACTCGCCAATGCTGAAGAGATGGGGTTCATCCCAAACAATGGATGACTGCTTAATTGGTGGGGATGCACAACTTGGTGTATACCCAATGTGTTGTTATACACGGCATAGGGGAAGTCATCGCCGTTATCCTGCTGTTGGTAGGACATATTGGTAAATCTGGATTGATCGTCGAGCAGAGAGTGAGTTACCAACATCGATGAATTTGTACTTGCTCAACGGTCTACAGACAAAAAAGCTCTCTGACAGCTGTTCGCCCATGGTCAAAAGCACCATTAGTCCGAATTGAGTCCATACAGACCCGAGTCAGGATGTTTAGACCAGCAAAATCACGAAAAGGGAAAGACGAGGGTTCATTGTCCTCCCGGCGCACTCTATGTTCCTTGGAGACAGATGAGATAAAATGACATTAAACCTGGACCACCATGTAAGCATGCTGGTCACCAAGCTCGAGGACTGCACAGCACAACGCGTCCTGTCAACTGAACACAAAGGATGCCACGAAGTGTCTTGGCGTTGTACGGGACTTGGGCTCTGTCCAAAGACTCCGAGTCAAGAGCACTGTCTCACTTTGGAACTAACTCGGGAGTTAGTTGTCGAGGGAATGATGTAAATAGTCATACAAGCGTTCTGTTCCCAGTATAATACAGCCAAGGGCTCGCCCATCTGTGTAATGTACTCTAGACTTACATAAAAGACGTTAGTGTCCTGGGTGAGACATGGCTAAAGGACAAACACCTACGTGACAAGATGCTGCTCGAACAGTTCCTCGGAGTCCAACCGTGACGCCAGTCATGCCTTCAGGCAGAATACGATGACACGCCGACATACATCATGGTCTTGACATATCAAAGCCAGCCGCACTCGAGATTTGAAGCTGTACAAATATTTCGGAGGGCCTCAGTGTGTTGGATGGACGACATGGCAGTCTCGATTCTCAAGTAAGTTGAACAAGTTCAAAACTGCCACAAGATTTTGCCTGAAGACTCGGATGAGCCTACGGATTGACAGTCAAAAAAAGCTTTAATGCGGAGATTGAAGCTGCCCCGGCAACAACATAATCATTCTCGTATTGTTCTCGCAAGTTGACTAGGCAAGTAGTCTAGGCTACTATCTCTAGAGAGCTCAGTAGGTCCACAGCTTGATTGAACTAATGAATCCTGCATCCGACAATATTCCAAGTTGGTTGGCCCGGGCATCGATCGTTTCGACGACTCCAACACCCACTATGGAAACTTGCAGACTTTTGTTCTTCTGCAGGCAATTGTATCAATTAGGTCCGATAACCCAGGTGAGGTTTCCTTGCCAAATAACCAGTAATTGTACTCGTTCCCAAGGCCCTTCGCGGTCACTACTTTTCGACTTGAAAAGATATGACCTTTTTGTTGAAAAGACTGTCCATGAGCGCCTCTCTGGACCCACACTGTATCAAAGAGACGCGCATGTTTTTGTATTTTCGTGAGCACGTGCTCGCGTAGTGACCGCGTCGAGCACAAGGAGATTGCGCGATTGTGCACTAGCAATGTATATATAAGACCTGGAGGTGGGTATAAGACTCTCAGTATCCCTTCAGCAACTTCATTCCACTCATCTAGTACTTCTCAATCGATACATGTCGCAAAACTCACAACCCCTGCGAGAGCCTTCTCTTCTCTCCCGGATAGGGGCTCGCGTCGATGATCCCCCCCATCATGTGTCGCCGAGTCAGGGGAATCCTCGTTCATACCATTCCAATCAAAGGGAAGAGACTGGTTTCACACCTTTGAAAAACAATAGCAAGGGGATGTGGCCCCGGCCACCACCGGGGTTGGCCGCTACAACAGGTCACGCTGGTCGTCACCCCCAAGCCAAGCAGGTAGGACTCTGAATCTAAAGTCCGGAAAGATTCGATCTCATTGAATATTCGGTGTAGCATGTGTCAGGCTCTTCCTTCGTTGATCGTGTTCCTGATACCCCCAGAACGACGGCCTTTTCACTGGGTACAGCCACCCAAGATTGTAACAACCATGCATATGTTATCTCAGCAACTGTATCCACCTCCGGATCTCCCGCTGGGTCCGATATAAAGGCTATGTCTGTTGACGAGCCGCTGGATTCCAAACAGTTTCGGAAACAGAGCTCCAGAATGTCTGTCGATCCTTCTCCGTTGACAGGCACCTATCGCAAGGCTTCGTCCCGAATGTCGGTCGATCCACCTGGCCTCTGCGCTCAGCGTAAGACTGCATCCCCGATGTCAGTAGACGTTCCTTCCACCCGTCGAAGCCGAGGATCATCAGACCGGATGCTGATTGACGAGATCCAGCACCACTATCCTACACAGAACCTCCCACAGCAGGCTTACAGTCAATATCGTCCCTCATTTACCACTCGCCCGAATGTCCCGCCGACTCGCAATACTTTGGCACATTTGCCACGAGAATGTACGCTCGCGTCAGGTGCTTTGCTTGCCACCTCCTTTCCATTACAACATTCGTCTCTATCGCATAACAGAGATTCCGCTCGCGGAGAAGCCAATTTAGCGTCGATGCCTTCGTTGCGATCATCATCTTTGCCACATGGGTGGGAAAAGGATAATTATGACATCGTTCCGGAACTGCCTCCTAGGTTGATCCCCAATTCCCCGGCACACCCTTCGGGTCGCTCAAAATCCTTACCAGCTGGAACTCCCGGGACGTTCTCTCCAAAACATGGGACTCCAGCTTCAAGGCAGGGGAGTAGATCGCCCTCCACGAAGCCAGATATTCATCGTCAATCTCCTA